AGTAAAGAATGATCTACTTCTGCTTCTAGATGCCTGAGTGCTTACACACTAAATACAATTTACTTTCACAGAGGTCCTTTCACATCAGGAGCACATCTCAAAGTGCTTTACGCAGCTAGCTGAGCACTTTTGTGGGATGGCACTTGGAGTTGGAACTCACTGGTGGTAGTCAGATGGGGGTTTAAGTGCTCCGAGACACTACCCCACATGTTGTTGTTTATTGTCCATAGTGGCTGCAATTAGGATAGACAGTGCTAACTTCTATGTGTATGTGACATTCTCACGTATGTAACTTGTTGATACTGAGAACATTGAAGGGCAGAACTGATTCAGTCGGCCACACCAACAAATAGACACTGACTACTCCTTTCCCATTTTATACGACTGTCTGAATAGCTTTTTCCTGTTCCAGACACCCTTATGTTCTTTTTGTGATCGATGCATGTCATAAAAAAGAATATTGTTTCCAGATTTCTGCTTGCTCGCATTTACTGCCGTCTGCAAATTCCAAGCCTGTATTACAAGCATTAGGCACATTAGTAACTCTCTGTGAATGGTGAGTGCCCTCTCGATTGCTCTCTATTGTTTATTAAAGGTTAGTGAAGGGACAGGTTGACCTAGACTTTGGCGTGACTACTAAGCTGTTCATTTAATAACACTTAATTTGATTTGGAGGTGAGTTTTGTGCTAATGGATAAGGAGCCACAGGAATACCTGCTATAGTGGTTCCAAAGTTTATATTAAATCCTTACGTGTAGCATAGTGCTTAGAATGTCAAAACAACTCAAAGTGTCTTACAATGAATTGCTGTCCAATGTAGTGATTATATTGGTATTGCTTTGCACACAGAGAGGTCCTACGAACAGCCTGTTTTGCAGCACCTTATCAGTGTGGAAATAAATGAAGGTGCACAGTATTAGAAGACATGTAGCAGGGGTAGAAAATAGACTAAAGGACAGAAAACAGAGTCGGGCCGGGTGTATGTTTTCCAGACTGGTGGGATGTAAACTGTGGTATCCTACAGTGATAAGTGATAAACCTGATCTAGGTCCAGGAATAACCAGAATATATCTCGGAGCACTTCAGAAGGATACAAACAGACTATATTGGGAATAGAGATGGCAGTTCAAATTGAATGCAGAAAAGTTTGAAGTAAGACATTTTGGAAGGAAGAATAAGGCGAGAAAATATATATGAAACTGTAAAACTTCAAAAGGGCTGAAAAAGCAGAGAGGCCAAGGGGTTAATATACGCAAACTTTTCATGCATGCAATGATAATTGCATTGAAGACTTTCCCTGCTACTTCAATCTCACATCTGATTGACTGGATATTTTCTCTCAAACAAAAGCTGGTCGTTTTTAGATGCGGGTGAGGCTCAGTGGTTAGAAGCTTTTGCTGAATTGCCACAATAGTAATGCTCTCAAATCATTTCAGCAGCTCAGCTGAATGTAAAGATTTTTTTTAAAAAACACTTCAAACGGAAGATTAAAGAGAAACAATGCCAACTCACTTTTTAAGTAATTTACTCTCAAAATCACATGATAAAATGATGCACTTGAACCCCAAATATATTGCTTTAGTGTGCAATGCCTTTATTCAGTTCAATACTAAAAAAAAGATTGTTGAATAGTATGGGAAATAGATCTTAGGCATCCCTTAAGTGAGGATCAGATTAACCGCAGCTTACTCAGTATCTACCTATAACAGGATGAACTGTCGGTCAATCCACAAAATCTGCTTGCAGCAAGCGTTTACCTGTGACTGGTACTAGCAGCAGTGTGGAGAATCTGGTCTATTGCTTTCTTTGTTTTTGTCTGCGCTCCCAGAATGAAACACCGCTGGGATGTAGTTCTGTCTGAACTTGATGAAGTGTGTGAACCTGCCACCAGCATCCCAGCAGATCCAGACAGTGATATCTCCGACTTAACTATGTTCTGTTTCAGTCGCTTTAGGCAGGAAGGTGTGAAATCGGATGTTGGGCACCAATATTAGACGCAAGAAATTTAACAGCACTTCAAAGTGCAAAGAAAAGGTAGAAAAGCAATTGTAACTGATGCGTGACTGTTGGTGGATATGTAATTGGCAGTTTATACTATGCTGTTAATGAGGCTGGATAGGCCCCGAATATATTTATTAGGGTCATTATTTTTCTTTCTTTACATTTAAGAAATTGATCTAAAGCCTTTAAATTATGCGGTGGAAACAAGTAAAAGGAGCTTTTAATGGTGCTCATGACCTTCACCACCTCTGATGTATTATATAAAACAAGACGTTTGATATCTGAACAAAACAGCTCGTCATTCCCGCAGTGTTGTTTTGTGAATCTTCTGGTGTTGAAATTGTGGCATGGTATAATACAGGATAATGTCTGGCTCCCAAATCTCGGAGGCTGTGTTATGATGAAGAGAGAAAACATTCCTGACTTCTGGGTCATCAGGTCAATAATGCGCTGCATGCAAGAAGCATCACTTTGCTCGTGAAGTGATGCCAACAGTGCTTTCTACACATGAGGCCCATACACAGCAAGGTGCATTAGCAGCGACCTGACAACCAGGACATGTTTTAGCTTGGGAAACCTTCCAGTCAATGCCTGAAGCAAGGTGGTACCTCCTTTCCAGTATAGGACGGGTCCACAGCGTTAAAGAACCCACGCTCAGCTGGGACATATTCTAACTGCACCGCCCTGGGTCACATTACCAGTGATAATTATGGCATTGACTAAAAATGTGGTCAAAAGCAGTCAGTAGTTGTCACTGTAACTATAGTGGGGCTTCAACCCTGAGACTAATGATTGCTTTTGCCCCAATTTTTAGTGTATGCGAAAATAATAACAACAACAAATTCTATTTGCATTGGGATAATAATAATCCTTGCATTTGATTTAGCACCTCATCACGTCTTCGAGACGTCTCAAAGAGCTTCACATAATATATTGTAAGGTGAATTGACTGTGTAATATTGCACGCTGCAAATTTGACACCTATAACTGAGAGAATAGGATATGTGAGTGGAACCACATAGTCTGTGACGGCGATAGAAAAAAAGGTAAAGGATTTTCAACTTTATTTCAGCGTACGCGCATGAATTGAAAATGTACAAAAAAAGGTGTTGGTCCAGGGAGACAGAAACTTTCCTGGAACTGGTGGCACTGTGAAGCAAAACAATTGGAATATTTTATGCTCCCTGTCAAGACCCATCAAATGGTGGGGGAAACGTGTTAGTTTAAAAAAAATAAAGCTCATAAAAAATTAATAACTACCACGATGAAAGCAAAAAGCGACATTGCAAGAAATCTCCTAGTTCTCTCTGGGCATGGCTGAAGCTCTAAGGCACTCCATAGAGATCAACAAATCTTAACAATTGAATTTTGCTGGATTAATATCGTCTCCAGCAAATGTACCTGCCTGTCCAAAAGGGTGATATTGCAATAATAAATGCAGCACTGAAATCAATTTTTTTTTAATGTGTTTGTTTGCTGGGCAACCAGTACCTTGAATGGGTTGGATGCAAAATGTTCGCCAGAATAATTTGCGATTCCCTAATAACTGTGCTTTAAATATCTTCACAGAAGTGAGATGTTCCACTGAATAATACTTAGCTTATCAATTACGATCATTTGCCAGAATACTACTTCCAGTGATTTTTCTCTGGTTTCCTCCAGCAATTCTAAACTCCCTTTTGATTTAATTGAATCAATTGTTGTGTTCTCCAATTCCTGCCACCTTTGCCAACCTTTGAAGATATGCTAAGCTTCCCATTAATTTCAGCAGAAGCCAGAGCTAGAGGAAATATGTAAAAAATTAATAGAAAAAGGATTTGATTCCGTTTGAAGCTTGTGTTTGACCACAGACTAAAGTCCCAAATCCTTTGGGCCTTGAATGTGATCTGAAACCATGGATTTGGATCGGGGATGGGTGGGGGTGGCGGCGGCGGCAGAGAGGTGGAGAAAGAATACTGTGGGAAGGAGAGATATGTTATTTGGTTTTGAAATGATTGAAGTTTTTGCTGATATATATCCAGCAGATCTAATCCTCTGTTGTATCATGTACTGACTGTGATCTGTTTCTTATTGTATTACTATGCACTCTTAATTTGTGTAGACACGAGGATGCTATCAAAACAAGTCATGTTTGTCAGTTTTTTTTATGACTATAATGTCAGTAACTTCTAAGGAACTAATGTGATTTGCAAGCAGCTCGCAGATTCTCTTCTGCTTTAAGTGAAAGGGCTGTGTGCCGTCTATTCAATGCTATAATGAGCATTGTGAAGCCATTAAACGACTGCCAACACCTCACCTCCAGTGAACATAGGTATACATTTCACTTTAGCAAAAATCTTAAGCTTGAACTTCAATGCATTCTTCACACGTCTAGCTTTAATGTTCAACCATATTCACCAGTCACCTTTGCTCTGCTGCAGTTGAGACGTTGGCTGATGCAGTGTTGCGATGCCCCAATTTAGTGCTAAGTTTCTGAATCTTGTTGAAGTAGAATTTAGATGCTGGTGACTTTGCTGTAACTAGTCCTTAAAATCAAACTTAATTAACATTTTCAACCAGTGATCAGAGTTTAAGAGCTACTCTACTGTCTTTCCATTACAGCATCAAGCTGTTTCTGAAATGGATCCAGTATCTTAGTCTCAACCCTCTGGCAGTCGCCTGCGCTGTGTAAGGCAGCAAATTTCACGTTGCTAATCTTCCCGGGAGATCGACAAATTGATATCCGGTTGCCTTTTGACGACATTCTCTGTGTTAATCGATAACGCCTAACAGGAGCACCCATGGGAAGGTTGGCGTCCCACACCCTGTATAATAATCATAATAATAATAATAATCCTTGCATTTGGTGCATCACGTCTTCGAGACGTCTCAAAACGCTTCACAGAATATACTGTAAAGTGAATTGATTGTATATTTTGGGGGCGAAACGCAGCAGCCAACGGCGCACTGGTCCATTTGCAACTCACCCGTTTTCTCATGACTCTGTTTCTTGTTTCCAGACCAAAAAACGCAGTTTTGCGTCGGAGCTGGAGTAGTGCAAACGGAAGTGCCGCTGAGGGCACCGTGAAACTACAAGAAGGCTCGCAAGTGCTCCTGACCAGCTCCAATGAGATAGGTGCCATCAGGTACATTGGGCCCACGGAGTTCGCCCCCGGAGTGTGGCTGGGACTGGAGCTGCGCTCGCCTAAAGGAAAAAACGACGGCTCAGTGGGCGAGAAACGCTACTTCACTTGCAAATCAAACCACGGGGTCCTGGTACGACCGAGCAGGGTCACCTACCGAGGGATTAACGGAGGCAAATTGGTGGACGATATTCCTGGATGAAGGATTGCTGGTAGCAAGGTGATGGAGGACGGGGAAAGGTGGTAGATGGAGAAAGGTGGTAGATGGAATGTTTGCACGACGAGTGAGTCCGAGCAGGAAAGTGAAGAGGGTTAGAGACGGAGCAGAAGATTCGTGATAAGAATCAAAGTGTGAGAGAGATGAGTAAACCTTTACAGTGCTATTTGAATGGGTGGAGGTTTATACACAGATCCACGCAGGCTACATATATTTAACATGCAGCTTTTGCTTCAATCTGATGTCAATGAGCATCAATGTCAGACTGGTGAGAGACATTTAAGCGACCAGTAGGTTTTAAATAGACGATGCTTCATAACTTTCCTTGGGAGGGGGCAGGATTCACCTGAGGCTGACCTGGCTTTGAGGAGACATGATTGGAAAGAATCTGGCATGTAGTCCTAGAGGATTAGGACATGTACTCAACCCTGGGAGCCAAAGCCGTAAGGGTAGGATGATCCTAGCTGATTAACCATTATTATTATTATTATTATAATGCTTTGTTATACAAAAGTGACCAATACTATCTACAGTATATAGGTGTATGAAAACAGAAACCCAGAGTTATTTTGTTGTTGGCATGATAAATGGGTACAGTGTTAGCTTGTCACTCTTGAGGAGCAAACGCACATAATAATACTCCTCGCATTTGATATAGCGCCTTATCACATCGTCGCGACGTCTCAAAGCGCTTCACATAACTGACGCATTGCTTTCATACTAACTGCCTATCCCTAGTTGCCCACAACTCCAGGCTGCCTGCCCTTCTTTACTATTCAATCAGAACTCCGCCTCGCCCAAAGAAATCTAGCATTGTAAATGTTGTAACGGGAGAAACGATTCCGCTCAGAAGGCAAAAGGAAATATGATGCACTTTTGAATTTTTTAAAACAAAATAATATATATTTCAATAGGTTTTCAGAAGAGATGAGTGTTGTTATTTTGGAATATCGGTGTTTAAGGTGTGACGTCTTGTATATTGCCAATAATGCACTTCATAGCACAGTGCATGCCTCTTAATGGGAACAGTCACCGTGACCAGCAATCGTTCCTTTTAACCATTCACTCCTATTACGCAAACACCATATATAGAGATGGTGATTGACAGGATTGTGCAATGTGCCAAAGAGCTGAAGTCAGAGTTCCAGCTGTTTGTGTTTGGTGACAGAAGACTGTAAAGACCGAGTGAAGCTGCTCAGGCTATCTCCCTTTATTTTCAGAAGTTTTATCTGCACTCATCTGAAGGAGTCAGACCACTGGTTTTAAACACACTGTACAAATTTGAATTTGATTTACCGCACGCAGATTCACTCTTGCCCATCATTTCTGTTTAACGTTCTTACATCTGCTAAAGCAGGAATTGATGCGATCAATGGGTAAGAAGCGTGCCTAGCATGCAGAAACTCCAGTCTATACTGTTTTCTCTCTTCACCTTTCCTCTCTCCCCCCCCCACCTCCCCCACACACATACACAAACACATCAGAATATAGTGTAAGGGACCCCTCCTCGAGAAAAAATGTTCCATTAACTGGCTTGCACTGTATATGAGAGGTTTAGAAATCTCAATAGTGTTCGAGTTAAATATTGTACGGGTTCATTGTGTTATTCGCCTGAGTAGACCAGACCTCTCTGATCTCTCAAATTAAAAGTTAGAGACAGTAGTCTTTCCTTCCTTGCCTACGTGGACAAATAACTCTTCAGACACACATGCCTGGCAATGAAATGTTATACCTCGTAATATGTACAATGTTAACCTCATAATGTTAGAACTAAGTAATAAGCACTCCGTCCGTTCATGTTGCATTGAGGAGGGGAGGGAAGTTGTGGAGGTGGAAGAGTTGGTTCTAAAAGGTAGTTTCAACAAACAAATCCTTGGTTCTTTCTTTAGTCAGCCACCTGATTGGGAAAGCCACCAGTCGTAACTGACAGGCTATTGAAAACCTTTTTTTATTTTTTTGAAATGTTTATGTCCGACAGTTGCCAACAGGCCAACACTTAGGGGAAAAAAAGTGAATCCGGGTGAGTTTCCCCTGGAATTAATAGTTTTATACGTTTCGATTAATCTGTGAGGCTGCTGTGAAAATGAGGAAGAAAACTCTTTATTTAAACAGGTTCGTGCTTTCTTGACCTACCCGGGCTGCTGCCCCATTGAAATAAGACGACAGATCCTCAATAAGGATTCATTACCATACATCGACCCAATTCAATCTGACCTCAGTCCATTGATTCCTAAATTCAAAATGATCAATAATTTGCAGTTCTCGAGGCACTGTTTTGAAATCGTCAGTCTTCTGATGGTATTTTTTAAAAATATACAAATCATTTAGGAAGATTTGGCATGTAGTTATTTTTTCAAATTGCATCTTGTTTGTGGCTTGTGCTTTCACTTGATTTAAAGTACCCCGAGGGATAATGGACTTGGCTTATGCACTTTTAAATAAATATATATATATATATATATATCTCTACACACATTATTTAAACATTAAAAGCTTTCTGCCAGCTCAGTAGCTCGAGCAGTTTAGCATGACTCTTGTTGAAGAAGCAGAGGGATTCAAGCCTTAGATGTTGTTCTGAGTTAACCCACAAGGTAGAACCTTTCATAGAGCAGGGCAATCACTGATCCAACTATTCTCAATAACCCTTCTGGCACTGCAACCCTACAGGATGGAGAGAAGAATAATTGGCACATTTATTATCACACATTTGTCTCCTTCAACTCAATCTATCTTTTCGTGATGGTTGGGTGGGGATTAAGGGCAATTTGGTTAGGAAGAAACCATTCCTGAAGGACACATAATGTAAGATGACTGAAAGGTTTTACCATCTCTTTTAAATGTTTGGTCTATAAAATTCTGTTTGAACTACACTTCGGTATTTGAATGAATTCTGCGGTTACTCTGCGGATTGATAGAAATTGTGCTATTTTTGGACTATGACTATTTTCAGAGTGGTACTCCCACATACGTACTGAAGTCAGAATCAAGTCAAAATAATTTTTGGGATGAATCAGATCTATTTTAATGTACATTTTATTTCTCAAAATGCCCGAAGCCTCACAAAAATATAAGAGTTTGTCAACTTTAAACGTGCGCACGTGTCAACAGCAGGCAGCACACATTTACAACATCATTACAGTATTGAGCACTTCGATGTATAGGTTAAGAAAATGATCTGTTTGTGCATTATAAACACAGCTTTAGTGTTATATGACAGACTCTTAACTGCTAACATAAGTGGGTGAAATTGTATTGTCAAATAAATAAATAAATGAATAAATAGTGTTACTTTTTTTCTTAAATAGTCATTGTGTTTGAATATTTTTCTTTCCTTCCCGGGCCTGCCAGCCTCTGTTTAAAGATGTGAGCTGGGAAAACCCGGTGAAACCAATACTGTTCGAGAACTCATTCAGAGTTTTTTTTGAATGGTCTCGTTCGCCCACAAGAAATACAGTCGGTTGACTTCGCGATATGTTCTGTGAAGCGCTTTGAGACGTCTCGAAGACACGATAAGGCGCTGTATCAAATGCAAGGATTACGGTTATTATTAATGAATGAGTGGCATTGACAAAGAAGGATGGTAAGTCATTTTTATTTTCTCACATATAATAAAGATAGTGTGAGAGTTATATCTATTGTAATGGTAATTACCTGGACCCTGAACAAAGTTTATGTAAAATAAATTAAAGGTCTTTAACGACACGTTAAAATGCAAAGTCTGTGTAACTGCACTTCAGTGTTTGAATGCAGTTTGTAGCCTTGAGTTTGCACTCTCTGAGTACAATATTGCTACAGTTAGTATATATAATATATTATTATATGCTGGTTCATTCAGGCACTTGTAAGATTTCTGCACCTTGAGAGTCTGTTCGCACAGCAGCGAGTGATTTCTCACACAGGAGTGGGCAATTTCTCAAGAGTATTGTAGATCTACTGTAATAATTTCCAGCAGAGAAAGATTATTAGGATTTTTTGAGCCATTCGTGTTTAATCACAAATTCAAAACAGTTGCTAGTGTTAGTCCCTCACCTTGTGTCTTCTCAAGACAGTGATGCTTCAGTTAAAGCAGTAATTGCCAATTTCTCCTTAACTCCCTCATTACAAAGTAAACAGTGACCTTTAAGACATCCGTCACCTGTCACTGTGCCTGGGTAATGGGCATTATTTTTTTGCAGTGGTCGGGGGGGGGGGGGGGGGGTGTTGGGGGCTGATATATCCAGATGAGTTCAAGGCCAGGACATTTTGTGAAAATGTAATTTCCCAATAATTTCTTACCGTTGCGTTTTCAATTTTAAGCAAAAAAAAAAACCCCCAATCGATTTGGAAACACACTGCTTTAAAAAAGACAATAAAAAGAGATTCAAAAAAATGATTTCCTTTGAAAACGATGATGCTAATCTGCCTACTTTGCCAGCTGACCTCGGCCGCTAAATGGTTTGCTGACGCAATTTTCCACTGTTCAAATGCAAGGTGTGTATTTTTAAACGAGTTTGAAAGATCTGATCGTTGGGCGGTCCATTGCATTTGGAGCTGCCCTTTTCCATTGTCAGACCTCGCTCCGATGCCTGTTATAAATCCCAAGTGAAAAAGATCTGACTCAGTTCAGTTCATACTTGACACAAATCTATAGCGCAAACTCTCTTCCCACCCCACCAACCCTCCCCCCAGCTCGCCCTCACGTCATTCAGTTGTAGGGCTGGTTTCTGCATTGCAGAGTTGGCTTTATGTCTGTGAGCTCTGACCAGTACATCACTCAGCAGCCTTTTATTTAGTGCTTTGTCTGCAAATGTTCCCTGCGTCCCTAGCTATCCTGCACTGCGCACTCTTTCATACCATCCCTGAGGCTTCTCTCCTTATCAAACTCAAAAGGTTATTTTTTCCCACTCATCTGTTTTGTTATTTGATAAACCTCACCTTTCGTAGCTATGATTTTCAGCTCTCAATGACTCACAATGTCAGTGACTAAATCCAGCTGTCAGTTTTTTTTTGATATTTATACACCGTATACAGTTTGAGGATTTCTATTTAATTATAAATCTTTACCTAATTTATTGTTTTGATATCATTGGTTGACCCAGGCCAGGGGACACTAGAAAGGTAGAAGGGAGTTGAGAAAAACGAAACAAATCATGAAGCGAATAAAAAAAACTTTATAGCTAATGTTCACACTGCAGTAGGCTCCGCACGCCCATTTTCTTGCAAAGATCCACTGCTTCCCAACACCACCAACAACTTACATTTATAGCTGCTGAGTCGGGGGGGAGGCACGGTCGAAGAGGAATGTCTTCAGGCGCGTCCTGAAGATGAGGAAGGAAGGGGCAATTTCTAGTTCTCTGTAGATTGAGCTTAAGAGCCTTGTCCTTCAAATCCCATCATGGTTTTGCCCCTCCCTATCTATGCAATCTATTTCAGCTCAATTCTCCTGCTTGTACCCTCCACTTTTCAATTGTGGTCTATTGGTCGCTTCTTACTGCTTAGAATCCTTCATTAGTACTGCACCTACGGCTACTGGCCCTGTCATCTGGAAATCCCTTCCAAAAATCTCTTTGCTATGCTTCATTAGTCTCTACTTTAAAATTCCTCTTTAAAATGTTCCTCTTCGACCGTGGGTTTGTTAACCTCATTAAATCTGCCTTCTCCCTGTTTGCTGCCCTTATATTTGTTAAATTCACAACATCCAAACTCGACTACGCAAACTTCCTGCTTGTCGGCCTCCCCAACTCCTCCCTCCATAGGCTGCAGATCAGCCAGAACTCTGCAGCCCGTGTCCTCTCCCGCATCAGGCTCTACGACCCTATCACCCGCCCGATTCCACCGGCTTCCCATCACACAGAGGATACAGTTCAAGATTCTGGTCCTCATTTTCAAAGCCCTCAGTGGCCTCGCTCCTCCCTATGTCTGCAACCTCCTAATGCCCTACCATCCTACCCACTCCCTCCGCTCAGCGGGCTCCGGCCTACTTCATGTCCCCCACCTTGCTTGTCCCACCATTGGCGGGCGGGCCTCAGCCAATCTGCCCCCACCCTCTGGAACTTCATCCCGGATTCCCTCCGCCTCGCCCCCTCCCCTGCCTCCTTCAAGACCCATCTCAAGACCCTCCTCTTCGCCCGTGACTTCAGTCACCCTCCTTCCCCCACTGCCCTCCACACTCCCCGATCCCGACCCCCAGCTCGGGTCCAAAACACTGATGTCCAGCGCCTCGGGACGTCCTCCCGGCGTAAAAGCGCTATACAAATGTTATTTTATTTGTTAAATGCCTTGACGTGTTCATCCGACTTGAAAAGAGACGAAACTGCAAGCTGTTAGGTGGTAGCATCTCCAAGCGCTTTGCATATAATTACTGTCAAGTGCGGTGATTTTTTGTGGGCAAACAAGGCAGCAATGTTACCAGAAACAGCCATTAGGAGGTAGTGGTCAAGTAGCACCAAGCCTGGGGTTTAATTGTAGACAGTAGGGTTTAGTGCAGATGATGGTCAATGCACGACCATTTGCCATAGGTTGATTTAGTGCTGGTGAAATACTAAGCATCTTTAGGTGGGGAGGGTGCGAATTGAGTAAAAGCAAATACATTTCAACTTTCCATGGCTCTGCATTGATTTAATTTACAGTTGTTTCCTTCAAAACATTTCTTGGTTACCTAATTCCAGAGAGTATTAGGCACAGGTTGGCGAGAGACAAGGCTTGGGGACCCCAGAGTGTGCACTGCTGGAGTTTAACCAACTAAAACTGCATAGTTTGCCCTTGAGAGCGCTGCCTGGGAAGCTTTCCGCTGCTTGTCCAGCTTTAGGTTGGAAGGAAACAGGTGCCAAGTGGGAAAAATCCCTGTCCCCAGCTTCCTTAAAACGACTGAAAGCCTCATCAAATAGACTGCATCGTTTTTATTTTTTCCCCGCACAACACACATTTACATCACAAATACAGTCAAGGACACATTCAATGAAAGAATTACCTGTTCAGTACAGCTCTGTTTAGAATCATGCATTATTAGCACTACCAGATACAGATAATCTCTCTTTATAATGCGTAGGGTTATGTGACAAATCAGTAGACTATGCATCTTCCTTGAACCGATGATCTGAAAATGTCGGTACTTTACAATCCTTTTTAGAGTGCGTTGCCCAGTGACACGAGTGGTTGCATTGCCCTTTGACCTGCCTCTGGTTGGCCCACAATAATGCGGAAGGGGAGGCAGTGTTCAAAGACATCACCGTCGTTTTGCTCCACTTTAACATTCAGTCAAACACATGACCTTATGCTGTTGTTCACAACAGGCTCCACGGGACTGGGTGTGCAATTTCCAAAAGAAATTTGTTTACTCATACCATGAGATAGCTTCTTCGGAAACTCTGAGCTAATGACACAAGTACATGAGAACTTGCATGTTACGGTCTCATCACCTTTGTGTCTCAAGGTGGGTCATGAGTAATTACTGTCAGTGTAATGACTTGGTTTGCAGACAAACTCAGCAACAATTTCGACACAAGCTCCCACTAACCGCCCAATTTTACCTTGGACAGGAAACCTCCTTTCCAAGTGTTATGGGATCTTTAACGTCCACCTGAACAAGCAGACATGACCTTGTTTAACATACCTGTTGAAGGATGGCACTTCTGACAATGAAGTGTCCTTCTCCCCCCTACCCAGGAGTGTACAAGAATGTCGGATTAGACTGAGCTCATGTCCCATATAGGGCTTAAACCCACAACTTTCTGACCCAGAGGGAAGAGTGCCACCGACTGAGCTAAGATGAGACAAAGGATGAAGGCGTATACATAGCAGAATTACATTTGTCTTCCCCTCCTACGCATGCTCATTGAGCTTTTATTCCTTTCTTTGAGAACATACTGTACAATTTATCATTTAAAAAACCCTTTCTCTATCATGTAGCAATTACTGATGACCTCAACATCTTTTCACCCAATAGTTCCGATGATATAATTATGATGTATNAAAAAAGACATCAGTAAAATTCAGAATAGAAACAGGAACATTTTGCACAGAAGGAGGCCATTTGCCAATTGTATCAATGTCACTTTCCAAATCTCTTTTTAGAAAAATATTAATCCCACCTTCCAGCACTGTCCCCATAATTATAAGATCATATGAAAGCGTGGAATGGGAAAAGGCTATTCGCCCCATCAAGTCTATTCCACCCGCAGACCACACTAAGCCTATTCTATTGTACACATCTTCAGACCCACTCAGGGAGGAAAATTAATTTCAAACATTATAGAGTATTCATCTATCTCACATCTCCACCATTCAAGCCTGATTTCCTTCCTTGCACAGACAACATTCCCTTTTCTCTTTCCTCATCACATTGGCTGTATCAGTACAAAAAACATCAATTCAATCTGCATCTCTCTATCTGGCAGAGAATCTCTCTTTGGAGAGACTGAATAAGGACATATGGTGTTGGAAGAAGAATGATGCTAGTAACTAGCAGAGTATCTGAACCTTTTCCAAATTGAGCAATGTTTAACAAGCACCTGAGGCAGCTTTTCCATCTGTCTGGCTCCTTCCAGCACCTGCGTTTCCATGATGCCAGTAAAATATCCTAGTCTCTTCCCTATTTAAATATATTTAAGGCTCCTTGCTTTGTAAACCATCAAAGTGACAACAGGATGCCTTTACACATGGTTTTCTGTTTGAAATCAGAGGGGGGGGCGGGGGGGGGGGGGGAGTTTAATTTGCACTATTTGTTAATTCGGAATCCTGACTCACACAGATGGGGGGAATCACTTTTGGTTTACCGTCAGGTTTAGATGAACGGCAGCTGGAGCCTGACATCTCAGTGAAGTAAGCTGTTTCTGAACCGCTTAATAAATCTGATATTCAGGAAGTTTTTATTTACTTGACAAGTTGAGCCGGGCACTCTTGGGGAAAGGAGAAGCCACTTTGAGTTATTGCTTTGGTGAGAGATGCTTATTGCAGCTGAGGTGGAGACTGATACGTGGGAAGGTCCTGATACAATTTACTGTTGTTTGGTGTCAAGAAAATCAACACTCAGCTGTACAAACCCAAATGCACAGGTGTTAACTGCCAGTCAACTTTGTAAAACATTTCGAATCACTGCAAGCTGATTCTGGGTCTTATTCCTGTGTGTGGCTGAAGCCGAACCACAGCAAGAGTGGACGTCTCATAAGATTGAAGCTAGTATTTGCTGGGACACAGGAATTGCACTGGCAGACTCTTATGTGTTTATTCCACTGGTACGAGTTGGGCAAGCGGTTCTTAACTCTTGTAAGCAATCCCTCTATTGTACCGGAGAATGATGCCTCATTGCCTTCAGCAACTTAAAGGTGCCAAATACAGTCAAGATCTCCCTAACCAAAGCCAAGTCTAGAATGAATGCCAAATACTGTAACTGCTTTCAATTAATTTTTCAAGAAATGTATGTGCCACCACTTCCACCGAGTCTTAATCTGTAAAACCACTTAAGTCTTCAAATTTAAGATCGGTCATAATTGTGAGACTTATTTTTTTGAAAGTCGGTTTCTTTTTAAGAACGGGCAGAAAAGCAGCTTCTAAATTAGGCCAGAATTTTGCACAGTTCTGTGGAATCTAAATTTTTTTTTACAGGCTAACACTGGCCATTATTTATTGTATGTTTTTGAGACAAATAACAATGAATGTTATTGCAGCGATGTACCTGACACCATTGGTCTAGTGGATCACTTTATGAAGACTTACCCTTCCTCGTGATCTTTGAGCCTCGACCATGATCTTGATACTGGATGTGAGATTACGCAAGATTTTAGAAAATTCTTAGATTTAGTCTTAATTTACGAGCCAGTTTTCCAATATTCTTGAAAAAATCAGCATCCAAATTAAGATTGAATTTAAGCATTTACTGTAATCCCAAACAGTCTCAAATACAATATTAAGATAATGATCTTAATAGGGTCTAAGATCTTGAAGAAGATCTCAATAATAATCCTTGCATTTGATATAGCGCCTTATCACGTTTTCAAGACGTCTCAAAGCGCTTCACAGAATATTCTGTTAAGTGAATTGACTGTATATTGTACGGGTGAAACGCGGCAGCCGATTGCGCAAAGCAGTGTCCCACAAACAAGTCGTGGATTGAGTGACCAGATTATTCAAGGGGTCGAAAGTACAGATGCTTTTCTTTTAATTGCAAGCGGTGTGAGTGATTGGGCAGGAAATCTGAGGGTCTAATCTCTACAGGTTTAATGCTTTTAGTTATAACTTCCAGCAAGATATCCAAGTTATTCATTAGTAAGTGAAGCGTGTGCACAATGGGAGGCAGCAATTTATATGAGACCCAACTGCAGCTTTTACATGAGTCTGGGTTAATCCATAGTTATAGAACAGAGTCAAGCACTTGCCCGGAGCTTTCACAATGGGAACTGATAGCAAAATAGACTCAAATGTTACTGCCACTGTGTTACGCCCGCCCCCGCTACCCCAAATGGACCCAGTCACCAGCTTTCATCCACTGACTATTCTGGTTTGGTGGCCACAAAGCCAGTATCAATCAATAAGAATATATCGTTCCCTTCCCCCATAGGAATTTGGTTCGTTTTCATTTCCACCCCCTCCCTGATAGGAGTGCAGGTGTCTGATTCATGCAGAAACTCATCACCATGCTTAAGAGTCTCCAAACCACACTGAGAATTCCATGCATCCGAATCAACAGATGGAAATTCCTGTGTTTTTGGAATGCAATGCGCACTCTCTCCCCGGAGGGACTCATCCTGCTTACCTAATTCCAGAGAGTTTTAAGTACAGGCTGGCGCGAGTCAAGGCGTGGGGAGCAATAAGTGTATGTTGGGGTGTAGCTGGAGTCCATAACCAGCTAAAAGCTTGCCATTGAGAGCACTGTCTGGCTCGCTTCCTGCTACTTGTCCAGCTAGGACCGCTCGAGCCGAACAGCATTGAAGCAGCCAGAGAATAATAACAGTTTTGCAGGTTGTTGTTAAATTAAATGATGTCAGGTTCCTTCACTCTGACTCTCTGTAAGTTGCTGATGACATGCATAGCATGGAATATCACACGGTGAGAAGACAATATCATTCAGTCAAGTACTTTCGATACATTCTTCGCCAAGTCTAAAGCAAATCTCTTTGCGTTATCAATTTGGCTCTGGTGCAGGAAGCTGAACATTCGGACCCCAAACTTTCCCCCTCCCTCCTCCCAGAGTTGTTGTATCACAAGGTTTGACCACACAGTTTTCTTGTGTTTCAAACAAGCTCATTAAAAGACGTAAGAACAGCTCTATGATGGTATGGAGGAAATACTCCCCCATTTCACAGTGTGGACACCTCCTCAGATAAAGCTGAATGTTGGCCAACAGTGGCATTCAAGCTCACTACCACCCTCCCCCACCTCTGTTTGAGAGACACTAATTATTCCACGAGCTCACCCCAGGTTGGGGATGTTTAGGGCTGAGAAGGGGAAGGGGTGGTGGTGGGGTGTCTTGTGACATATACCTCATCCATATAACAGGCAATGACTTACGGAACAGATTACAGTGAGAACATCACCAGCTGAAGTCTTCAGAAAGAAACTGAATCCAATTCCAACCCAATGTGGGATATGAGTTGGGCATGGAGAAGGGAGGGAGGGAGGGAGGGAGGGAGGGGGGATTGGGGTGTGGGTGTTGGAGGGAGGGTGGGAATTGGGGCGGAAGAAGGAGAAATCATCGGATATGGTGCTGAAGGAAGTTCTGAGTTCACACAGATTCAAGGATGTATATATGCAATATCTGTGCCAGATACTGGTTTCATATCATGTATTCAAACCTGCCTTTCCTCGCCATTAAACCATTCTAAACGCCCTCTTTCCCCCATGAGCCAATCTTTACACACACACAGCTGCTTCTCCTTCAGCTTGTATGAGATCTTGCATTTGCAGCTCCTGATCCGTCGCAACGTCTCGGAGCGTGTACACAAACGTTAACGGTGAACTCGTTTGCAGCGAGGTTCCACGCACACAGAGCCTTGTAGTGAACGACTGATTGAATCTGACTGGAGGATTGGTGGCCACAGCACCAGGAGAAACTCGCTGCCCAGAAACTCCCTTCTCCCTTCGAATAGTTGTCACGGGATCTTTGCCGTCCGCCTGACGAACAGGCAGACCTGGATTTGATGTCTCGCCTTATGGATGGGCACGGGCGCCTCCGACAAAGGCGGCACTCCCTCCCCGTTACTGCGTTAGAGCGTCAGTCGAGACCATGAGCTCAAGTCCCAACGTGGGGCTTGAACCCACGATCCGCTGACCCAGAAAGGAATGCTGCTGACTGAGTCAAGCTGACACCGAAAGAACGTCTTGCCTAAGAGAAGCCAAGCTTTTGAAGTGTTTTTCCTCTGCGCTCTGCCCCGCTGCCCAATTTAAAGTACAGTAACGTTTACATCCTCGGCCAGGGACAGTCCCGAGTCCCAGGTGGGTAAGTCAGCCATAGGGTGCACTCGTGGGTCCTGTTCGGTAGGCAAACCCTTGTTAACTCGCGGGATGCAATCCTCCTTGCAGACGGCGCAGGCTGCCAGGGGCTGGGCGTGGGAGCCCTGCTGGTAGGCGTAACTCACGTTGCCGCAGGGGAAGTGCTGCAGCCGGAAGAGAGGCACGTCCGATGTGACGGCCGCAAGCGAGGAAGGTTGTAACAAAAGGGCGGAGGCCGGCGGGGGTCTGGGGACCGGAACTGGGGCGGAGGAAGAGGAAGAGGGAGGAGCGGGAGGGGCCAGCAGGTTGCCTTTGACACCAGAGTCTTCCCTCTCAGGCGGCCTTTTATCAGTCAAAGCGCTGTTGTTGCTGTGAGCGGTTGGTTTCTCTGTGAACCAGGAGCCGTAGGTAGGGTTCCAGAGGTTGGTCGGTTTGTTCAGGGAGCCCCTGGGCTGCTGCAAAGCAGTCGAGCTGTTCATTTGCGAGTAGCCCTTGGCAGAATGAAACCCTGGCTCAGCCCCCGGCCCCCCTGTCTGTACAACGATGGAGGGGGGAGCAGCGATGGTGGCGATGGAGACGCTGTTGTCGCTCTGGGCTGGCTTGATCTGATGCTCTGCCAGGCACAGGCTGATTGGACGCTGAGGCATGGGCTCTGGCTCGGGCGCGACACATCCATCCTTGGCCTCTTGAGCCGCCGGTGAAACCAAAAGAGGGGACATCCCCTCGGGATCATCGGGTCGCATCGGAACACTGCCTTCCTCTTCCACTGCCGGCCCGTATTCCACTGGCAAAGAAGTGTTTATAACATCAGGATCCTAGGATAAACAACAAGAGGCACTTAAGAGAAAGTCCAACTTAAATCGGTCTGCGGTCAGGTCCATATCAACATTCAAAAGGGAATTGGATAGAATAATAATAATATTCCTTGCATTTGATACAGCTAGCGCCTTATCAGGTTGTCGAGACATCTCAAAGCGCTTCATAAGGTATATTATAAAGTGGAGTGACTGTGCAGTAGGCAAACGCAGCAGCCGATTTGCACACAACAATGTCTCACAAACAGCCATGAAGTGATTATCTTAGGGATTGTTGGTCTGGACACCAGGAGAACCTGTTGTTTCAGATAGTGCTATGGGACTCTTAACAGCCATCTGAACAGGCAGACAAGATCACCGCTTAATGTCTCATCCGAAGAACGGCACCTCTGACAATCCAGCACTCCTCCGGCACTGCACTGAAGTGTCAGCATCGATTACATGAGCTCAAAGTCCCAGCTTTGGAGCTTGAACCCACAACCTTTTGATCTGGGCCAGGGTGGCGGGAATAAATACTAATAAAGGATATGGTGAAGACGTCAGTGGAGATGATGTGATTAGAGTAGATAGCTCCAATGGGGGAACTAGAACCAGCAGAGAAGATGGGAAAAAGAGTAGAGGGATGGGATTGGAGCAGATAGCTCTGGCGGAGGAACCTTTCTCTGAACTTTGTATGATTCTGTGAATTGTAACCAAACCTTCTCCCTTCTCACCCACTCCCACAGATGTCCGCCTTCATCTCAGAGCACAAGCCTCACCTGTGTGCAATATTCAATCCGTTCCAGTATTGTCGCAAAGTTGGGCCTGTCCTCCGGCTGGTGCTGCCAACACTGGGTCATTATCCTGTACCTGGAGCATTGCAAATGAAACAGGAATGAAAGTTAGTGGGAAGTTTGCTGCGGTTCCCATTCTGCATCTATGTGCGCGCGCGCGTGTGTGTGTGCGTGCGTGTGCGCGTGCGTGTGCGCGTGCGTGTGTGTGTGTGAAGTTGGGAATCACGATTGAGCTGTATATGGGTCTGAATCACAGCACTGCTGCACTTAACACCAGCCTCCCCGCAGATTGTAAAACAAGCTCAGCTTCCAAATCAAGATTGAATTTATAATACATCCACTTTATAATATCTTATCACAATATCTAATAAGCCTTAAAGAAACAATGATATTTTTTTAGGAGACGAGAGACTTTAGAGACACACACACACACACTCACATAAGAGGGAGACCACCCCCCACCCCCACAAAAGTAATGCCTCCTTTCTATTTTCTCAAAATCCTTTCATTGTTAACTTACAAAACTTAACATAAACACAGATAAAAGAAGCTTTTTTGAATTTCGCCAGTGCAAGTTGCTTTTCCACAAAAGTCCCCATCACCGTCACCATTAAGGTCAAATGACGGGCAAATGGCTTTTCTAGGTTAACATTTGGGGAAGCCGCACCAGCACAAACTTTAGAGTAACCAAGGTTACCAACAATCATCTCAATGGCACGATGACCGATACTGAGCCTCTCACTGAACTCACGCTGAGCGACTCGTCCATTCTTTTGTGGATCATTGCATCAACTTTCTGTGTGTCCTCACTGTGAACAGCTGCTGCTGGCCAGCCTCTGCGAGACCTAGCTTGAGGTCCGTTTTCTCCACTTATCACGCGATTTTGCCCGGTGTCTTACAGTGAGACACCAGACGCAGTGAGACACGGCATCTTACATCAACGTATAACCGTCCGTACGCTTTCATCAGAAAATGGCGAATCTCAATAGGCAAAACACTGAGAGATTCAATTGTCGTTCTCTTGCATTGATAACACAAGTATCAATCTGAGGCTCGCTTTGAAACTGCTGTCAAGCCCCTCCATCTGGCCAGAGGTAAGACTACCACTGGACTGCCACCTTGAGGTACCATGACTTTTTCAAACAGGTATTAAACTCTAGAAATGGCTTTATAAAATAATTTAAGAGAGTGAAGCAGCTATAATCGGAATGCAATCGTTTTCCATCGGAAACCACTGACAACCTCCTGATTTTGTACTCCCTCTTGTACGATCGTGTCTCTTGGATTACCATGGAAACTGGAACATTGCCTGTTCCAGATGGCATCATCTTGCCATTTTCTGATGGCTGTCAAGCCCATTCCCGATATTTCGCTGTAAAATCTGGGAAAGGGGTCATAAACGTCAGACACTATCGCTGGGGTGTGATGGGTATAGACTGTCAGGGGGTGACTAACATGCTGGAATAGATCTCTTATTACTAGGATCAAAGAATAATAATAATAGTAATAATAATCCTTGCACTTGAATAGGAACAACACAGAGTACAACAATGCATAGTGGCTCAACGCTACTTCTGTTACTTAACCACCCCACACCCCAGCCCGTGATGAGTCCCAGGGCAGTTTGAGCTAAATCAGTGAAGAGGAACAAATGCAGCACAAAAAATGAATTCAATTTAAAGGATGTGTAACTCTACAAATAGCAGAAAACTGGACATTTCTGTAAAAAAAAGAACCTTCAGAATGAATTTAGCTTTGCTGGCATATTGAAGGGCAGAAGACAGCAGTGCTCTGATTATATAGTGAAATCCTTGCATTTGATACAGCGCCTTATCACGTCTTCGAGACGTCTCAAAGCGCTTCACAGAATATACCGTAAAGTGAATTGACTGTATGATTTGTGGGCGAAACGCGGCAGCCAATTGCGCACAGCAGTGTCCCGGCAAACAGTCGTGGATTGAGTGACCCCAATTTTTCTTATTTTATCAATTTTTCTTTTCTTTTCAAGGGATTATTATTATTATTCCCTTCCGGAAAAGCTATCCGCCAATTAACTAACAACCGGGTTCCTACTTACTGCTAGGTAAACGGAGGCAGGTGTGGGGAGTAAGGAAACTTGCCCAACATTTTGTTCTGGCCGGGTTAACAAACCCAGGTCTCTCGCTTGCGAGGCGAGCGCTCTAACCACCGAGCTACAGGACTCCACAGAGATTATATATCCCCCACACACGAGTTCGGCTGCACACTGTCACTTTGAAGGTGCGGCTGAATTGTACGTCTCATTCTGAGGTCATTCAACACAACATGAAATCAAAGCCACAATCACTTGGCAGAACACCCTTTAATTAGGAGGATTTGGAGCAATGGGAAGCGTGGAGAGTCTGTGCCCCATTCATTCAGGCTTGTCAGATGCACGGAGCTGCCTGGGATTGTGCTCTGCCCCAGCTTGCTGCCGGCAATTACTCCCACACAGTTGACTGATAACTCAAAGGGCTAAAAATAAACCACCACAAGAGCGATCACTCAACCCCAGCCTTAGCAATCAAAGGGAATTTATCTTTTCTCGGTTTACTTTGCGGAATGGGATCTACGGCCCCTTAGCTATAAGAGGCCGTATATAAATATAATCGCACTAATGGTGGAGAGATGGAGCGTGGGATCATCCCACACTGTGAGGCTCAGCACTAAGGGATGAAGCCTGGGACCAACTCATCCTGTGTACCTCAGTCAGCGCAGTTAATTTTACTGGATGGAGACCTCTGAGGGGGGGGGAGCAGATTGAAACCCATTAATAGAGAAGGACAGACGGTTCACGTACACGGGCCCTGGGCAGTTCTTGGGTGGATCCATCCGGCCGCCACTGGTGACAAACTCCAGCACCTCTTGGTTGCTCTTACTGGGGTAAGGCATGTAGCCTAGTGAAAAGATCTCCCACAGCAGCACTCCGAAAGACCTGGGGAAAACACACACACACACACACACAAACACTCAAGGAAGGGTTTTGATAAGGTCAATGGAGCCCTACCAAAAACAATGGTTGAAACAACAACAAATTACATTTACACAGCGCCTTTCACGTCAGGAGGATGTCCCAAGTCGGTGGACAGCCAGTGATTTGGACCCGAGCAGGGAGTTGGGATCAGGGCTGGAGGGCTGGGAGGGTAGAGGTAGGAGGGTGGCCAAAGGCGAGGTCGAAGAGGAGAGTCTTGAGACCTGCCTTGAAGGAGGCAAGGGAGGGAGAGAGGTGAAGAGACTGTGAGATGCAGTTCCAAAGGGTGGGGGCAGAGAGGCTGAAGGCAGAAAAGCTGAAGGCCCCGACCACTGATGGTGGGGCAGGCCAGAGCCTGCTGAGCGGAGGGAGTGGACAGGTTGATATGGCGTTAGCAGGTCACAGAGGAGGGAAGGAAGGAGCAAGGCCATGGTAGGCCTTGAAGGCGAGGACAAGGGTTTCAAATAGAATCCATGCTCGATATTAAAAAGTACTTAGACAAATATTTGATAAATAAAAGACACGCATGGTACATAGATACACGGATAGAGGCACAGAGACAACCGGGCACAGACGTGTATGGAAAGAGATGCAAAGATGCAAGGAGATACCCGGACACACTCACCAAGTATCTGTTTTTGACGTGAATATTCCTTCCATGAAGGCCTCTGGGGGCATCCACTTGACTGGCAGCATGGCTCGGCCACCCTTCCTGTAATAACTGGCTCTGTGGACACAGAAGAAACCAACCGATAAGAGGATAAACCTCTAAGAGCAATGCTGTATTGTCCATTAGCGCACAATGCAATTAAAGGCAAGATACTGGAGATGCTGGGAAACACTCAGCAGGTCAGGCAGCATCTATAGAGAGAGGAAAGTTCTGACAAAAGGTCATCGACCTGAAACGTTAACTCACTTTCCCCTCTCCATAGATGCTGCCTCACCTGCTGACTGTTCCCATCGACTCCTATTTGTAATAGAACATACAATGCAATGTATGCTCTGATACAAACAGAAGTCAGGGTATAATGAAACTATGACAGAGAATTTAAATTCTCTCAGTGTCCTGGTTGAATAAATTGGTTGTTCAGTACATGGCTGTTCGTGGAGCCTTCAATTACACAGTCACTGCATTTGATAGCATTTGCTTGTGAAGTTGGTTTGTTGTTTGTTATAGGCACTACATCAATTGTAAGGACAGTGATTTATACTGCGACACAGTACAGTGCATTCGACGGGGGTTGGGGTTGGGGATAGTGTATTGCAATGCCGCGGGATACACACTGTTTTTTCAGTTAAAAAGCTTTTTCTGGTCATCCGGGTGTCTGACACATGCGGAAACCCATCACCAGGCTTAAGAGTATCCAGACCAAACTGAGATTTCCATGCATCCCAATTACACATGAAAATCCCAGAGCTATATTGTCGGAATGGAATGCGCACTCTCTCTCTCTCTCTCCCCCTCTCTCTCTCCCTGGAGGGATACATCCTGCTTACCTAATTCCGGAAGGTATTAGGCGCAGGTTGGCACGAGCCAAGGCCTTGGGGACCCCAGAGTGTGCGTTGGGGTAACTGCTGGAATCTAACCCCGCTAAACCATAAATTGCCATTAATATTGCTGTTGAGAACAGCTGGGGGCTGGGGTGGAGATGGGCTGCCTGCCCCTGAACCTGTTGACGTGGTAAATATCACTCGTACCGTTCAACTGACCCCGGTAACTGTTACCGCAGCAAACCTAGAGCTCTGGGATGCTCCCCGCCCTTGTTGCCAATTGGCCACGTGCCCATCGAGGGGAAAGCAAGGCCTCTGCCTACCTGTAGATGTCGCGAGCCATCCCGAAGTCCCCGATCTTGGCCACTCGCCCTGGACCCTTGAACGTCAGCAGGCAGTTCCTGGCGGCGATGTCGCTAAATGAGGGAAAAAGGAACGGGACAAGAACAGTGTAGCTCTGAGGTACCGCGCGGTGCTCCTGAAGAGCATCACCTTGGAATCTAATATCGTGCACAACAGTTGGAAAATCCAGAATCCTCCGACGCTGAATTCGGAAGCCGTTTCTTATAGAGCTTTCAAAATAGGGGCCTGGATTTTTTTCAAAAAGGGTGTTAAAAAAAGCTAACAGGCAGTACGTTGGCAAGTAATTGCCAGTCAAGTGCTTTTAGTCCGATAAAGTGCAACGGGAGTGACGTTTGCGGCGTTCCTTATTTAGTGCCGCCCACCAGGTAAGTGATTGCCTCACACCTCCACCCCTCCCTCCATCCCCACCACACCCCCGCGCCCCCAGCTCACACCGCACCTCTGCAACACACAGGCCCCCAGACACCGTTTTGCCCCCAAAACATACAGTCAATGCACGTTACAGTATATTCTGCGAAGCGCTTTGAGAACGTCTCGAAGACGTGATGAGGAGCTACATCAAAGACAAGGATCATTACTATTTTATTATTATGAAAACGTCAGCGTCACTGCAGAACCTCCCCATGTCACACAGCACCGCACCCCCCCCACCCCCCACCCCGGTAAGCCCTAACGTGCCCTGGAGCCCAGCACTTTACTCACCGATGGATGAAATGGTTCTCCTCCAGATACTGGCAGCCCCGGGCGATGTCACGAGCCACGTTGAGCAGATCTAACATGCTGAGGGTTGACGGCTGCCCCTGAAGCATCACAAGGTGATAGCGCGGGGTGAGAAATGCGCAGGTCAAAGATCGCCGCTGCTGGCAACTCACTCACCTGAGAACAGCTCGTCAGCTGCAACGACTGCCGTACAGTCAAAGGCTGGAGGCTGGACAGTTTAGTTACTGTTGAGGACATGTGGATACACGGACAGGGACACACAGAGATAGACAGGTAGGGAGACACACACACACACAGACAGACAGCTTCCCACAAAGACAACAACAAAATTACATTTGTAAAGCGCCTTTCATATCACACACACACACACAGAGATATAAACAAACATACAGACAGGTAGACACACAAACATACAAACACAGGTACATACACATACACAGGTATGCACACACCACACACAGACAGGTACAATACAACGCAAAATACAGTGCAAAATTATATTTGTATAGCACCTTTCGCATCGGGAGGACGCCCCGAGGTACGCAGGTACACATACAAAGGTACACACACACGCAGGTACACATACACAGGTACACACACACAGGTACACACACACACAGGTACAAACACAGGTACATACACACACACATAGGTACACACACACAGGTACACACACACACAGGTACACACACAGGTACACACACACACACGTACACACACACAGGTACACACACACATAGGTACAAACACAGGTACATATACACACACACAGGTACATACACACAGGTACACACACACACAGGTACACACACACACACACACACACACACGTATATACACACACACACCACACACATAATTCTCTCCCATTTTAAGATACAGATAAAGTCTCTCTTACCAGTTTGGGCCGATACTCTCGGAGGAAGGATTTCATGTCACCGCCTGCCATCAGCTCCAGCAGGATGAAGCGTGGGAGGGCCTGCAGGCTGACCCCGATACACCGTACAATGTTCTGGTGGCAGAACTTACTGCAGCCGTGGGCGAAAGAGCAGAGTTACCTTTCCGAGACACCCGCACATACCCGGAACGCACGAGCACGTCCAGCGCAACTGTGGCAGCGGTGAGCCGAACGAGTTCTTTTTCTGTGCGGTGCTGCGGCAGGTTTATTTATTGAGGAAAAACACGGGTGCGGGGAGACAGGTGGGTGCGGGGGAGACAGTTGAGGGAGACAGGCGTGTTCGCTCGCTCGCTCACTCACTCACTCACTCACTCCCTCACTCCCTCACTCCCTCACTCACTCATCATTAAGTGGCCTTCAACAGTGTTTTCCTTAGACCATGTACCTGATTATCAGGGCTTCCATCAGGAAATCCAACTCATCCTGTTCCGAACACATCTCAGGCAGAGTCTGAGAAGAAGAGTAAGATATCAGTGTAATACTGACCGGGGCTACAGACAGTATAATGCCTACAGACAGTGTTTTACTAAACCAGAGCGACAGGCAGTGCAATACTGACCAGAGATACAGACAGTGTATAACTGATTAAAACTGTAGATGGCTTTGAGGTGAGCAAAATGTTCTTCACTGGCGGAGGGGCACGAGAGAACATGAGAAATGTCTTGAAGTAAAGGCCATCCCTGTCACCGTAACGTTATTTCGGGAAGTCCATTCTCACCGCCAAAGCGCACTCACCCACGCATGCACGCACACACACACAGACACACGCATGCACACACACACACACACACACACACAGACACCCGCACACAGACACACGCACGCACACACACACACACACACACACACACGCACACAAACACATGCACACATACACACGCGCACACAGACACACGCACGCACATACACACGCTCACACAGACACACACACGGACACACACACACGCATACACACACACGCACGCACATGCACACACTCACGCACACACGCACACACACACAGACACATGCGCACACACACATGCACACAGATACACGCACACACACACGCGCACAGACACACGCACGCACATACACACGCTCACACACACACACACATACAGACACACGCACACACACACGCACACAGACACACACACGCACACAGACACACTCACACAGACACACGCACACACTCAAAAACACACGCACGCGCATACACACGCTCACACAGACGCACGCACGCACACAGACACATGCACACACAGACACACACACACACGCACACAGACACACGCATACACAGCTCCACAATAGGTTAGAAAAACAAAGGAGAGTGGCTCTGCAATGATTTGCCTCCCTACTGTTTCCTACATTTTCTCTGTACCATTAGTATTTTAGATATTCTACAGAAATCTGTCCTTAATAACATTTCATTCGGTCCCAAAGCAAATGACTTGGAATAATAAGCTCTGTATGACTGGGAGAGGTAATGTTCAAGGGTCCTTTACCTAAAGACAGAGTCAGCGCTCCTCACAATACTGCAGCAAGCAACAGCATTGAACCTCTGCCCCAGAGCTAATGGGAAAGACTCTTTTAAATGTCAAATGGAGTGAAGACTCAACACCCACTGGGTTTCTGCAAACTTATATATCAGTAAGAAAAGCAACCGCTTTGACCTTCAGGAGCTCGCTGCTCGTGTGATCGGAAGTTCGTGTTAAACTGCAAAAGTCCTCCTCAGCATTTCCCAATGAAGTCTGATTTCTGTCCATCTTTCTGAAAGGCGTACACTGTACTTCCAGACTAATATCTGTCGGGAATCACTTCCACAAGCACCAGACACTCGAGTAGCCATCATTTGGGAAGATGTTTTTTTTAGGACATGTGGAAAACTGGCTTCCAAATAAAGACCGACTGACTTTATGAATTTCCACAATTTCGGGCAATCTTAAATTTTAAGACAATTTGGTTCTTGAGTTCGAGATCTTGTTAATACAAATTGTGCCTATATTACACAAACAAATCTACCGTTATACAAAAATTGGCAAACGTTGCATACAGTTTATGCTTTTTTAAAAAATATTCCAAAACTTGTCAGTCGAAGTTCTTTGTTTTCTCAATCAGATCTCTTGGTTGGACTGAAATGAAAGACGATCATTTAGGATGTACAGATATGCACAGAGTGCGCATTTTTTTTGAAACCACTAATGCGATCGATCTCTGTGAAGGAGAAGACTATATGGAATTTCAGACACTAGGAGTGGGAAACATAGTTGATGTGGAGTGACCCTGTTATATAACAGTGTTGTGGGCCCATAAAATGAGATTGAATGTTATTCAGTGTTATAACAGGAACACAGAAAAAGTTACTGATCCTGTGTCCGGGTCACCAGGTCTCTGCTGACTACTCAGTGTTAGAAAAGCTTGAGCGAAGTTGTAACTGACTGAATGGTTTCATGCCTACGATTCAAAAGTGTACCCCATTTCCATTAACTCTGGGTTAAGCAAACACATGCTCTAAAAGGCACACCCTCTTCTGCTCAGAGGCCAATCTGTTCTCCCACAAAACACACAGTCACACCACTCTAGCGCAACTTTGGGACTCACACTGCCGTGAAATGTGCTTTTCAAGATGGAAGGATTAGTATCTATTATTAATTTTGAAGAATTGCTTTGGGGAGTTGGGGAGTGTGTAGGTGGGGTCCACAACACAGTTGCCTTCCTCGTGGCTGGTCTCTTGAACGAGTTGGCTTGATGGCCTCAGTAACCTATTCCCGTTCTGTGTTTTTAACGTGCTGTCAACACGAGCTGTATTCACTGAACATGGTCCCAGAGCGCATTCCCCTACCTGCAACAAGATAATACACTATACCTACATAGTGTCCGAGACAAGAGCTCCTTACCTTCACTGCTACCTGTAGAGGGCTGGGTTCCCCAGGGATACTGGTCACCTGGCCTTCATACACCTCACCAAAGGCTCCATGACCCAATCCCCTGCAGATGAAACCCAACTTGTCAGTACCAATCATTTCCAACCAAGAAGCCACTTGTTACAATGTAAGCAAACATATACATATATAAACAGGCAGACACGTGTATTCACACAAATACACGCACTCATGTGCACATACACATAAACACACATACATACCATACATATGTGCAAGCACATATACATGCCTACAATCACACATGTATACACTCACTCACACGCGCATGCACACATGTATGTGTAAATATGCAAACATATGCACATATATGCACATGGACGCACATATGTAGCCAGACAAATATATGCACACAGACATTCAAATGCACACCCATACACACATACACAAGTAGGAAAACTGATCGCACTTAATGGCGTATACAAAATATTGTGTGAACCTCTGTTGGTCTGTACATTTATGGAGATTTCAGGACAGAGCCTTCTTATTCAGAAGGTACTAAACAGCTGGAACAGGTTATTGTGATGGGTGGTTGAGGTCAGGACACTGGACTCATTTAAGAAACAGCTCAATGCTGTAATGCAAAATTACAATACAAAATTATATTTGTATAGCGCCTTTCACATCGGGAGGAGGTCCCAAGGCACTGGACAGTCAGGGATTTGGACCCGAGCAGGATAGTATACATAATGGATAGTATGGTAGGTATTCTGGAAGGATTAAATCAAATGAGCCGAAAGGTCCTTCTTCATCTGACCCTCTTATGCTCTCGTCATGTGGAGTGTCTGACCACTGTGTTCCATTGACTCACCGGATCAGGAGGATGTTTTTGCGGGAAACCTCTTTAAGGTCACTGATGGAGGTAGTTTTCCCGGCAAAGCAGTAATTGGGGTTGTAGTCGGTCATGATGGTGGAGGTGCGCAGTTTGCTGAGCTTGTAGTCGGGGCTCTGCAGCTCCACCTGCAATGCCTGCAGCTCCTGGTGCTTTCGGCGATACACTGTGAACAGACCCGAGACACCACATCCATCCCATTACTTAACATGCCTCAGCCACCAGCCTCAGGCCAGCAGTCACTGTGCGCGTGATGCTCAAACAGTGTTATGAGATCTTTAGCCTCAGCCTTTATAAACAGGCAAGCAGGACCTCAGTTTAAGGTCTCATGTGAAAGAGGTCACCTCTGAGAATGCAGTGCTCCCTCATTAGAGTGTCCGAGTGGACTATGAGCTCCAGGACACAACGACAACATCAACAAATTACATTTGCAGAGCACCCTTCATGTCCAGAGGACGTCCCAAGGAGCTGAACAGTCAGGGGTTTGGACCCGAGCAGGGGGTTGTGATCAGGAAGACTGGAGGGCAGGGAGGATAGGGGTCCTGTAGCTCAGTGGTTAGAGCGCTCGCTTTGCAAGCGAGAGACCTGAGTTCAATTCCAGGCAGGGCGAAACCTTGGGCAAGTTTCCTTACTCCACACGCCTAATAATAATCCCTCCAAAAACAAAACAATAATAAATTGGGCATTTTCAATCTACGACTGTTTGTGGGACATTGCTGTGCGCAATTGGCTGCCGCGTTCGCCAACAAATATACAGTCAATTCACTTTACAGTGTGTTCTGTACAGCGCTTTGGGACGTCCTCCCGACGTGAAAAGCGCTATATCAAATGGAAGGATTATTATTATTATTATTATTCTGTGAAGCGCTTTGGGACGTCCTCCTGACGTGAAAAGCGCTATATCAAATGCAAGGATTATTATTATTATTATTATTATTAGGGGTAGGAAGGTGACGAAAGCGCGGTCAAAGAGGAGGGTCTTGAAGGAGGCAAGGGAGGGATTGAGGTGAAGGGACTGTGGGATGGGAGTCCCAAAGGTTGGGGGCCGGAAAGGGTGAAGGCCTGAGTGCTGATGGTGGGACAGGCTGGGCAGGGGATTGACCCAACAACCTTCTGATCTGGAGGCAATCGAGCCAAAGCCAGATGATGGGCCTGTATTTAGGGTTGCACCTCTGTCGAGAGCAGTTTGCTGGACTTGAACGAGCACAGTCATTTTCCAGGCTACAAGACAGAAACATTACAAACAGCGACACTCACCGATCATGGTCCCAGAGAAGGCGAGAATCAAAGCTGCCACCACAGCAGCCGACACCACGGAAAGTACCAGGGAAAGCGGGAGGTGGCCTTCGGGAAGGACTTTCGCTTCTTAGAGGAGATCAGAGAGGTTATGAGAACAGCACCAAGCAGCAAAAGGAACCCATTCACCTCATCACGCTCAATCCAGCAGATTTCCTTCCACCCATCCCACTGTATTTGTTTAGGCAAAAACATTTTTCAGAACAGATTGCATGTGATAATCATCACAGCGATCAGAAAACGCCAGAATTTCAATTGATTTCTTTGGAAAGCTGGTTTCGTCTTGAAAACAGCGAAAAATATATCTTTCAAATTAAGACTGCAGATTTTGTGGGAAATTCTTAAGAGCTTTTTCTTCCCACCAGGACGTATTTCGCATGAGAAACTTTTATGCACTCGGGCACCTCAAACTAATTTACACACAGTAATTACAATACAGTTCACATTTATATAGCACCTTTCACAACGGGAAGATTTCTCAAAGTGCTTGACATTGTTGGATGGGCAGGCAAGCTACGGTTGGGAGCCAAGGCGGGTGAGGAGGGGAAAGATGATCGAAATAGCAGTCAAACAGGTATGTTTTGAGATGTGTCTAGAATAAGGGAAGGGAGAGAGAGAGAGTAGGAGGGACACCTTGATTGAGTTCTAGAGAACAGTGGTAGAAGAGCTGAAAGCCCACCCACAAGCGATGGTAGATGGTGGGGTGGGGGGGGAGTGCGATAGGCAGGGGTTATGAAGAAGGCTGGAAGGGAGTGGTCAGGTTGGTATAGTTGAAGAACGTTGTAGAGATAAAAGGCCTTAGTATTGGATCATAGTCATATAACATGGTCGTGAATCACCAACCCATCAGAAAGTGATCTTTATGTCACATCAACAACAACAACTTGGGTTTACACAGCGCCTTTCGCGTCGGGAGGGCGTTCCAAAGTGCTGGACAGTCACGGATTTGAACCCGAGCAGGGGGTTTGGAGGGCAGGGAGGGTAGGGGTAGGAGGGTGACCAAAGGCGCGGTCGAAGAGTAGGGTATTGAGACGCGCATTGAATATCCACAGCTTAGCCAAGCTCAGTGTTCGCTTGATCTCGGCTACGTGTCTGGGAAGCGATGGTGTTCACTCACCAATGCAGAAGATGCCATCTGGAGACAGTACTTTCCCATGCTCGCAGTAACACATCACTTCCCCGTTGTCGTAGTCAAGCAAACACTCATTGGACTCACAGTGGCTGCAGTTCAGATGCAGCGCAATCTGAACCTCACCGTGGCTCTCTGTCGCTGCAGAGGAAGAAAGAGGTCACAGGATCACAAGATGGAAAAGGTCCTTCAGCCCATTTGATCTCATCCCTCCAGAGTACCCACGCTTCCCTCTTCCCATCACAGCATCAGGCTGTTTTCAAAACGAGTCCAGTGTCATCCTCAATCGCCCTTTCGGCCGATCTGCTCCAGTTGTTGGGATTGCTCTCCGGGTTACATACAGCCTAGAGTAGGTCACACGAAGCCCAGTGCGTCCTGCAAACAGTTCAGAGTACACTACACACATATGCTTCATACTAAGCACGCTGTTCAGATAGATGGCAAAGATCCTATGGCCAATAACCCTCCATTTTTAATTAGTCACTCATTTCATGTTTCTTTGTACAACTTTGCTACGCTAAGCTGACTCCAACTTTGGCTACAAAAGCAACAACTTCATACTTGGAGCTTCATTACTACTGTAAACTTTAAGACATTTTGATGTTATAAACTGTAAAGTGAATTGACTGTATATTTGTATATCTGCATATTTGTACTTCTTCTGTATTAAACGCATAAGCAGTGTTCTACACTGAAGCCAAGTTTATCAATCATATTTTCTTTGCAGATCATCATTCGTTTTCCACTTGAGTTGCTAATTTTAGGTTTAGTTTGCCTTGTTGATTCACGTAGATGTCATGGAATTGTGTTATTGTGGCGCACAAATTGACTGTCGCGCTTGCCTACAAATACACAATCACCACACTTCACTCTAAAATCCTGTGACGTGCTTTGAGATGTCTCAACGACTTGATAAGGCACTACATCAAATTGAAGGGTTGTTACATTATTATTAAGTTAGCGGCTGTATTTACCTCCACAACAACATTTACTTCATTTCTAATTAAGATTATTCTGGAAAGGCTTAATAAGCTCGTTCACCCAGAAGGTTATCAGAATAGAAAATATTTTGCCGAAAGTAGCTGAGACCGAGTGCTATCTGAATGTAAAGTGCCTTACCACAAGCGGCTATTGAGGCAGAGACCATAACACCATTTAAAAAGGAATTGAATAAACACTGCAGGGGAACAATATAAATAGTAAAGGGAGGGGGGTGGGGAGATGGAGCAAGGATTTGGGACTAAAGGAGTTAGCTCTATTAGAGGAGCTCGAACCAGTGTGGTTCAAAATGGGATGAATGGCCTCTTCATACGTTGTGAGCGCTTTGAGATGTCCTCCTGACATGAAAGGCGATATGCAATATAAATGAAAATTGTACTGTAATTTCTTTTAGGAAGGATGGATGGGATTATTTCTCATAACTATTAGGAGTACTAGCTACGTGCAGGACCCACTCTCTATGCCTGTTACGAGGCTCCTGACATAATGCTTTTAACGCCATCGAGATGTCTCAAAGCGCTTTACGGGATATACTGTAAAGTGGATTGACTGAATTTTGCTAATGAAACGCGGCAGCCAGTTGCCCACAGCAATCTCCCACAAACGGTCATTGAGTGAGTGACCAAGTTTATTTGGGGATTGTTGGCCAGGACACCGGGAAAAACTCCCTTCTCTTTTCGAATAGCGCCATGGGACCTTTGACTTCCGCCTGAACAGGCATTCGCGACCTCAGTTTAATATCTCAACCAATGAATCCACTTATATCCTCTTAATTCTTTTTTTTTTGTATCTCTTATGTCTCTCAGTGCTCGATCACTCAATCTATCTATCGACAAAGCTGACAATGAAAAATCTACTGGTGCTTTCCGTGCTTTTGATTTACTGTGGTTTGAATCTATCGCCATTGTGGCGGTGGGTTAAACCGCTTGATACAATAGACGATTATTAAACATGACTACTTCAATAATAACTTCATTTTATGCTGTGCCTTTCACATAAAATAAAATTAATTAGAAATGGAGGCAAACACGACAGGCAACCTGTGTCAGTGACATCCGTAAATAACAACAAAAACAAAATTATATTTATACAGTGCCTTTCACATCGGGAGGACAATGAGAAGATGTTTGTCAGTATATGTGAACTTGGGGTAAATTTGGATGAGGAGGGGAATATAAACCAGGATAATCAGGAGAATAAAAAAAAATGTTTGCTTTAAATAGCAACTGCTATTTATGTCCACACAGCACATGGAACCTAAATTAATAAAGACAATTCAAAAATTTGATGAACTGAAAATTAATAAACTTACACGTAATGTTGCTATATATATATATATATATGTTATTTTTTAAACCAGGGAGCATTACTGAAACAAAGTACAAAACTTCTTCCATGGGATTTCAAAACTAATCCAGACTGCTGGGATTTGTCAGTCTCTCTGTTGGCTACGTTGAAGTGGTTGCAAGACTGAAATGGATAGATACTTGGCAGCAGAAACATTAGAGGAGATGGCAAGACCGTAAGAAAGAGAGATTAGAGGATGTAGTAGTATGTATTGCCCTAGAATGGTGTGTGATGGAACAGGCTCAGTGGGCTGAATGGCTTCTCCTGTTCCTATGAACTGCCTTAATAATGTTGCTGGTGGGTTGGTGCCCAGAGCAGAAGTCAACATCAATGGTTGTCATTCAGAAAGGCCAGGGGTGGCTGGTGTGGGACATGGAAAGGTTACGTGTGTATTGGGAGAAAGTTAATTCCCAAAGGTATCAGCTTGGCTCAGTCAGAAACACTCCTACACCACCACCACCAACAACAACTTGCACTTCAATAGCACCCTCCACGCCGGGCGGCATCTCAGAGCGCTTCAAAATGGTGGAGCCCAAGGCCGAGCCAGGGGGAGAGGGAAGGTCTTCAGGCACGACCTGAAGATGGGGAAGGAGGGGGCGAGGCCAAGGGGTTGAGGGAGGGAGTTCCAAAGTTGTGGGTCATACTTCTGGCTCAAATGACTGTGGATTCAAAACCCACAGCAGGACATTTATATCATAGTCTCGGTTGACTCTCCGTTCGAAGCACTGCATCGTCAGAGCCTTGGTGGAAATGTTCAGGTCTTATGACATTATCTGAAGAGAAAGGGGGTTTTGTCCTGCTTATAACCTGCAGATAAATTGCTCATTCACTTCAAACCGGTTGTGGGAACTTACTGTCACATTTGCATTTGCGACAGCTAACTTGACAGGAGCTCCATTTGAACCGTGAAGTGATTTGAGACATCTTGATGTTATGCACACTATATTAAACGAAAAGATTATCAGAACTTCAAAAGGTGATTTCTAGCACCTTCTGTTAGCTGGAGGATAAAAATAATAATAATAATCCTTGCATTTGATATAGCGCCTTATCACGTTTTCGAGACGTCTCAAAGCGCTTCACAGAATGTACTGTAAAGTGACTCGACCGTATATTTTGTGGGCGACGCACGGCTGCCAATTGCGCACGGCAGCGTCCCCACATACAGTCGTGGATTGGGTCACCGGTTTACTAGGAGGGTGCAGGGTCCGTGAACAAAAGCCCGGGAGCAGGGAGAGAACATTTGGTTGGGAGCTTTGTGTCTTTTGGGCGCTATTGATGTACTCCAGCTGTCACCGCCTCAGGTTTCTGCGCTGTTACATACCTGCCAGTGGTGGCGTGTAGAGGACTCCGAGAGAGCTAACGTACGACACGCCATAGCCACCATCTTTTTCGATGTCATTGGTCTCCGTTGCATTGCCCCCTGTGAATTGAAAGATTCCATTTAGTCTCATTCGTAAAACCATCACACACAACAACTCACAATATTTTATAACGGGGGTAGCAATACTCCTTGCATTTGACACACCGCCTTGTCACGTCTTCGAGACGTCTCAAAGCGTTTCACAGAATATACTGTAAAGTGAATCGACTGGATATTCTGTGGGCGAAACGCGGCAGCCGATTACTAAGGTGAGCATTTCCTAGGGAGGAACTGGAACCTGATACTCTGAGCCACCACATCTAAGTCCTGTGGCTTAATGGTTGAAGCACTCGCCTCGCAAGGGTTAGATTCCCGGACAGGGGGCAAAATGTTGGGCAAGTTTCCTTACTCCACCCGCCTCTGTTTACCTAACAGTAAGTAAGAACCTGGTTGTTATTCAAGTGGTTATTTTTCGCCCACAAAAAATAGTCAATTCACTTTATAGTATATCCTGTGAAGCGCTTTGAGATGTCTCGAAGAAGTGAAAAGGCGGTGTGTCAAATGCAAGGATTATTATTATTATTATTATTATTAATATTATTATCAGCTGTCTCACAGGCCTGGCTACAACCCTGCACATGGTGGGGGGAAAGTTTGCAACAATACTTAACGCTCAGGAACGCATTATGAGGTGCAGAGTGGAATTTGCGTAGCTCAGAAATGATGTGACTCGCCTATGTAGCCACCACCAGCTCCGCCTGCCGAGCAAGGTCCTCCTCCTCCTCCAAAGCCCCCTCGTGTCCTCCAGCCCCACTTCCTGATGGCCTGGGGGCACGATTCACCCCCTTCAGCACCTTCCCTCACGGATTTGCCGGACCAGAGCAGGGTGGCGATATCACTCCAGCCACCGCCACCTCCTGCAACAAAAAAAAACGGACAAGACTGGCGAAAGCAACAACAATAACAGCTGGCATTTATGAAGCGGCGTTCACGTAGGGCAGTGACCCAGAGCGCTTCAATCGGGGAAAGATTATTCAATATTCCCAACTGCATGGAGCCCTGTAGCTCAGTGGTTGGTTAGAGCACTCGCCTCACAAGCGAGAGACCTGGGTTCGATTCCCGGCAGGGTGAAACCTTCGGCAAGTTTCCTTACTCCATGCGCCTGATCGTAATCCCACAAGAGAATAAGTAAATAAAATAATAATTTGGTCTCTCAATCCACGACTGTTTGCGGGACGCTGCTGTGCGCAATTGGCTGCCGTGTTTCGCCAGCAAAACATACAGTCAATTCACTTTACAGTATATTCTGGAAGCTCTTTGAGACGTCTAGAAGACGTGATGAGGCGCTGTATCAAATGCAAAGATTATTATTATTACATATGCAAATCTAAACAATCATAGTTATGCATACAAATAATCATTCATACACATATATATATATAAGCACTTGCACAGGCATGCATATACAAACACACACACACAAACACTATCATAAATTCCTTTTTGGCAACTAACACTATCCACTGAAGTCAATATTGACTTATGTTGTTTGTGTTTGTGGTCAAAGATTTCTATTGGGAGAGCGTCTCTGGTTTCATAAAATGAGTTAATTGCTTTGGGGCAAAACACTGTTCTGACTGCGTTTCATTAATCTGCCCCTATCATTCATAAATAAAAGAAAATGCATTGTTTATTTTGGTGGGGGTGGGGGGGGGGGGCATCCATTGAACTGTCTCAAACGCTTCCTAGCACTCCCAGTCTCTGTTTATTGCAGATCGATGTGGCAGCTAATTTGCCTGCCTCCAGCAAAGTCCCACAAAGAGCCATAAGGTGAATGGCCCAATTTACCCGTTATCTGGAGAATAGTTAGCCAGGACTCTGCGGAGAAAATCTTTTTTCTATTAGTCTCACATGATCTTTAACATCTGTCTGAAGAACAGGCAGATGGGATCTCAGTGGAAGATTTCAACCTAAAGAGAATACCTCTTGACAAAGCAGAACTCCCCCCGGCCCTGCTCTGAAATGTCAGCGTGGAGTATGAGGTTCAAAGTGCTGACGTATCCACTTTCTTACCCGGAGGCGAGGCCGCTACCAACTGGGTAGAATTACAGAAGAAAAAAGATTTAAAGTTCGAAACTTGAGTGGGCAAATGCGCAGGAAGACCATGAGATGCCTCGAGGCAATTCTCTTAGTTAAAAGAGTTCCGTCGGTACTTTGAAAAGGCTCGTGAGCCACTTACTCAGCAGGTACCGTTAGCTTCTTGGAGCAGGCATGGCAGAGCAGAGTAACCCTCCTGATCTCTTCGGAGTCTGTTAAAATTAATAGGCGGCTTACAGTCAATTTAATGGCTGACTGAGCATCCTGAAGACATAAATGGTCCAACTGCCGATGATAGGCTGATGCTGCAATGGACTGACTCCACTATGCTCCGATCCTATCTTAAAGCCGGCTAAGATGAGATTTTAATAACCATTCCACTCGCAGGAGTCCACCAAGCACTTTGTTTCACACAACACCCTTTAATGGAACACTTCAGCGGGACAATGATAACCCTGACAGGATGATGGACTTCACCACGATGAGGAGCGGAGGCCCGCAATGCCTCGTATCCTCAACCTTAAAACCACTTTGTCTTAACATTTAAAACTCATGCGGCGTTTGGGGAGAAAAATCCTCGGTACAGTCTGCCTCCGGAGGCCGATTTCTTAACAAGGCCTGCATGAAACCAGCTGCCAAACTAAGAATCGACTTAGGAATTTTCTATAAACTTTGCACGATCAAAACTCCGAGATGTTACCCTGCGTGAACGACTCGACATAAACGCAAGTTGTCTTTGTTGCTGATCTTTAAATGTTAAGACGATGGTCTTAAGACACTGAGACTTTAGAAATTTCAGATCTCTGGGCAGAGAGTATGTCTCTGCTACTCTCTACACTACTGTGTGATATCAGTACTCTGTGCGTGTTTGTGGTAAATACATTGTATTTTGTCCAACAACCATCCAGTCTTAACCTGTAAACCCATTTTGGCTTAAAATTTAAGATTGCACAGAATTGTGGAAAATTCTTAAACTGCCTCTTAATTTGGAAGCTGTATATTTCCTCAGTTCTTAACAAGAAACCATCTTCCAAATTAAGTGGGAATTTAAGAATCCTTCACATGTCTACGCCACCTTAAACTTTAAGACGAAATAGTCTTAAAGGTTAAGACTGGGTGGGATTTCGGGGCTCTGAAATTTACACTGTATTCATATTCAACTTGGTGGCTAGTTCCAATTTCTGCATCTCTCTACTGCAATTAGAATAATCTTAGCACTGTTTATCCTCCTTAGACTATACCGCCTTAGAGCACGTAGTAATAATAATAATACTAATCCTTGCATTTGATATATTCTGTGAGCGCTTTGAGACGTCTGGAAAACGTGGTAAGGCGTTATATCAAATGCAAAGATTATTCTACAGGGCACTAATGCCTTGTACCACCCAATATTACACCCACCTAGCCAAAAGGAGCATGGAGGTGGGTCATAGGGTAATTATTCAGAGCTGATTACTTACAAGGAGCTCTCAATTACTTTAAGACATCTTAAAGAATAGTTCGAAATTGTGTTTGACGCCAAAAAACACCAAATATTACACCGCAGTAGTTTTAGCTAAATTGCTTGTGCCGTGAAGTGCCAATGCCATATCAGAGGTAATATCTGTGGAGTGGTTTCCAAAGAGGTTCTTTGTGACAGTGCAAATTGGATGTGAATTGGTGAGATGGGATATAATGCCAATGTGTCAGCAATCTTCCTGAAGTAATTATACTGAGATCAATAAGGCTACAGGCTCAAGGATTTAAGGCTTAATAAATAAAGAGACTTTACAGTATAGTTGCTTTGCAAGGTCGTGCTTTTTCCATAACAAAGGAATTTTGCAACAACCCTCTTGTGAAACTGAGCCCAATACCTCTGCTGAGATAACACAAGCAATGACCTGACAGTTTAGAGTGAAACAAGCAGCATTTGCATCATGTGTGTGCGTTCCAACAAACAACTCAACCAGTGTCTTATGACGATTGCCGAGGTCAGATCCAAAGGACTTTGTGTTATTAACCTTCAGAGAGTAGTGGAGTTTTGCTATCTGCTACCAAATATTGGTGACCTAAAATTCCACCCATTCTTGAGACATCCATCTTCTAACCCAGAGGCAAAAGTATCACTGACAAAAGTCAAGCTAATGCCTAAATTGGGAAATTTCACTCAAGTTTAGCCTGTAAAAGCAATTTTGTCTTAGAATTTTAAGATGCAGAATTCTGAAATTCAGCATTCATTTGAAAAGCTAAATTAAGAATGGCTGAATTTAAAAAGTTTCCACAATTCTGCATGACCTTCAATGTTAAGGTCCTATCTGCCTGTTTAGGAGAAGGTTAACGATCCCATCACACTAAGAGAAGGAGTTTCTCCCGGTGTCTTGGCCAATAAGTCCCCAGAAAACATGGTCATCTTACTTCATGGCTGTTTGGGCATAAGTTAGCTGTTGCATTTGCCTACAAATACAATCATTAGATGTAGCAGAAATTTCCTGTAAAGCACTTTGAGATGTTTCCATGTTACAGGTGCTATTATCAAACCCAAGGATTATTACACATATAGCATTTTGTGGGGGAAAAAATGGCGTTTTTTTTAGCGCCTGGAACACATTAGAATACATTTAAAAGTTCTGGGATACTACCCTGTGTGAAGGGTGCTATATAAATGCAAATTGTTATTGTTATTAGTCCCATTGAGTTTATTGGACTTCACCTAAGTACAACGGTTGAATTGTGACCCATTCATCACACACACACACACTCCACACAACACACACACGCCATACACACACACACACAGTCACTGCCTCACCTGCAGCACCTGACTTTCCATTCAATCCTGGAACGAAGGAGTCATTCTCCAGCATCTCCTCAAAGAAGTGGTAGCTTTTGCTCAGGTAAGCTTTGCCCCCTCCGCCTGCTGCTATCAGTAGGGGCACAGGCTCTCTGCCCTGCATCTGTAACATTTCGGGGAGATAAACACAACATTGAAAACATCAAGGCCTAGCGGTAAGTAGGAACCCGGTTGTTAGTCGATTGGCGGATGGCTTTCTGGGGGTAATAATCCCTTCGAAAAATAATAATAAATTGGTCATTCAATTCACGTGTGCAATTAGCTGCCGCATTTCGCCCACAAAATACGTAGTCAATTCGCTTTATAGTATATTTTGTGAAGCGCTTTGAGACGTCTAGAAGACGTGATAAGGCACTATATCAAATGCAAGGATTATTATTATTATTAATATTAAGATGGCCATTCAGCTTGACAGATACTATAGAGTCACACAATGTTAACACAGTACCTGAAGGATGCTTCAGACGTACTGTACTTGTTCTCAGAAGCAAAGGTTAAGTTCTTATATTGAAAATCAATCCCGACTCTTCATTACAACTTGGAAAATAATGTATATAAATCTGTTAATGATTTAGCTTTCACTTTTCCAAAGCTAATAAGGACAAGACAGGTGGAGGCCATTCAGCTGATTTTTGTACATTGTTCCACTTCCTCGCCTTTTCTCCATTCTCTTTCATATTATTATGTCCCAGTGTCAATCTGTATGTCTCTCTGTCCATCGCTACGTCTGTCTCATTGGCTCAGTGATGCCTTAATCCATTACACTATGGTGGTGTGTGTGGGGCAGAGGGAGGGGGGGTCTTCTAATTGGCATTTTTTCTTTTATACTCTATTACCCAATGGGGAAGAGAAATGGCTTGCTCTGACTGTGCACCTTGAAGACATAAGTTGCTCCTCCGCCGCCTCCCCCTCCTCCTGCCCACTCCGTCACACTCCCATTTGCTCTCAGCTCCTCCTCGATCACATTACTCTCCCCCTTGCAGACCTTCTGGATGATGGGATTGGCCTGTAAGAGAAACAGGAAAACGGACGGGAAGCTGAAGTTCATGGTGATTTAAGGTGGAGCTTCAGCTTCCTTTTCAGGAGTCCTGTAGCTCAATGGTTGGAGCACTCGCCTTGCAAGCGAGAGACCAGGGTTCGATTCCCGGGCAGGGCGAAACCTTTGACAGGTTTCCTTACTCCACATGCCTGATAATAATCCCTCAAGAAAAACAAACACAATAATAAAATTGGTCACTTCAATCCACGACTGTTTGTGGGACGCTGCTGTGCGCAATTGGCTGCCGCATTTCGCCCACACATATACAGTCAATGCACTTTACAGGATATTCTGTGAAGCGCTTTGAGACGTCGCGAAGACATGATAAGGCGCTATATCAAATGCAAGGATTATTATTATAAAGTAGAACGAACCACTGAGGGAAGATGGCCAGCGGAGCTTATAACAATAATAATCCTTACTGTAGGTCTATACAGCAAGTTGATTTATATAGCGCCTTTCAGGCAGGATTGCTTCCCTTTACTACAGCACCACACCCATTTATCATAGTTAAACATTATTAAAATATACAATCACTACACTTTACAGTATATTCTGCGGCAGAAGCGCTTTGAGACATCTCAATGACGTGACAAGGCCCTACATCAGATGCAAGGATTATTATTACTATTATTATTATTACCATTCTCCTTCATTACAGTATCACTCAAATTTAGCATAGTCCCATTACTTTTACATTGCAGTATTGTAACATGTAAAGTGCTTCACCTGTGATTGACAGGAGATTCCCTCAGCCCACCCCTCTATTCTGATGAAGGTCGACACCCAAAAACATTGAATGATTTCTCACTCTCAGACACTTGTTGTCCCGATGCGAATTGATGTCGTTACTGTCGTTCAATATTCCTTTAAAAATTATAAAACTTCACAAATGTTCCAAGTCCGCAATTGTTGCAGCAACGTGCAATAAATGTCCAGTTAACGGTTCTTCAACCTACAGAAATTATTACAATAACTTATAATACAGCCAGCCTTTCGCTGAAGTCTATTCGAAGGCTGCTGCTCAGTTAGGAGTGTGTGTGTGTGTGGGGGGGGGGGGGGGGGGGCGTTGGGGGGGTTGGGTGGGTAACGGTAGGGAGGGAGAACATATTGAAGGTTATGCACTAGCTAATGACCCAATGCCTGGAGTAACAACAACAAATTCCTACATGTCGGAAAGACATCCCGGGGCACTGGTCAGGGGTTTTGGACCGGAGCTGGGAGTTGGGTTCAGGAGGGTTGGAGGGCAGGAGGGGTGCGGGGTTGGGAGGCTGGCCGAAGTGGAAGGTCTCTAGATGGGACTTGAAGGAGTCAAGAGAAGGGGTGAGGCGGAGGGATTGCGGGATAGAGTTCCAGAGTGTGGGGGCACGCTGAATGCCCCACCGCGAATGGTGGGGTGGGAAGCCCAGGGGACCTGAAACAGGCCGGTGTCCGCCGAGCAGAGGAAGCGGACAGGCTGATATGGGGTTAGGAGGTCGGAGAGCTCGGGGGGAGCAAGACCATGGATGGCTTTGAAGCTGAGAACGATGGTTTTGTACTCGATTCTCTGAGGGATGGGGAGCCAGTGAAGCCAGGCAAGAACCGGGGTGATTGGTTCACGGAGCCTGGTGCGGGTGAAGGCTGGCGGGCAAATCAGGGCCACCCACCCTTGGAACTGCATCATTTACATTTACAATGAGCGACAAAGGCAAAGATTGGTCAGACTCGCACTAACATAATAATAATCCTTGCATTTGATACAGCACCTTATCACGTATTCAAGAATATACTGTAAAGTATATTTTGTGGGTGAAACGCGACAGCCAATTGTGCACAGAAGTGTCCCACAAACAGTCGTGGATTGAGTGACCAAATTATTATCATTATTATTTTTTTAAGGGATTGTTACTCCAGGAAAAGCGATTTGCCAATCAACTAACAACTGGGTTCCTACTTACTGCTAGGCAAACAGAGGCGTGTGGAGTAAAGAAACTTGACTAACTTTTTGTCAAGCCCGGGACTCTAACCCAGGTCCTCACGCTTGCGAGATGAGTGCCCTAACCTCAGCTAGCTGCCACTTATCTCTTCACTTGCTCCATCCTGCATGTCCAACCCTGACACGTAATACATTCAAACCAGGCGAGGTCTCCTTAGCCATGGGCATCATTCCACGAGCACTCAATGCATTCGGCCCCATGCTATTTCAACCTGCTCATTTCATTATACAATTTAGTTCCCCCTGTCCCTGATCATCACTCATTTTAGTTAACAGAAAACCTGACTCACTGTTCCATCATCAGCAAATTTAATTAACTGAGTGTTGGGAGTGGGCAGGCTTTAAATCATCTGCTACCGCTGAATGCAAACTGGAAGCCCATTTGTGGTTCATTGTGTCAGACCTCTGGGCTCCATGTGGCAGGAAGAGTAATGCATTAGTAGTTTTGTCTCTTGTGGTAAACAGCAGTGAATCTTTGTCATCCTCTCTAATTTGTCCGTCAGAGTTTGATGCCTGCGCTCCAGAAAGTACTTTCCTGCACCTCCACGTGTAAAAAAAGATCATTTGATATCCATCCGGGGACTGGATTCATTCTGTCAGATGTGGACAAGGCAAATTGAGGGGGAGGTGAGAGGAGGTGAGAGGAACAAACTTGACATTTAAGTTTGCTGACTTGAAGAAATCCATTTAATCTCAGCCCCTCCATAATGACAGACCTCCATAATCTACATACAATGATATAAAAGACACATTTGCCAACATATAGGTGTCTTTTGCCAACAAATAGTGCCTTGGGACATCCTAATTTTCTGTCGTGTCAGCCTAGCTCACTTGGTAGCACTCTGAAAAGTCTCATATAGTCAAATTCAATGATGGGACATGCTACATCTTCAGAGGTGGTGTTGATTTGTATGAGATGTTCAACCTCTAGCCGTATCTACTTATTCAGATGGATGTTAAATATCCCATGGCACAATTCAAAATGAGAAGCGAGGGAGTTTCTCCCAGTGTCCTGGCCAACAATCCCCCAAATAAAACTGGTTATTCACTTTGTGGCTATTTATGATTCTGTGCGCGAATTGGCTGTCGAGTTAAACTACAAAATACACAATCAATGCACTTTACAATAGGTGCTTTGCAAAAATGAAAAGTCCTATATTAAATGCAAAAAATATTATTATTAAATACATAGTCACTACAATTTAGAGTAATGACCTGTAAAGTGCTTCAAGAAATGCCATCATTACCGGCATTATATAAAATGCAAGTATTATATAGACAGATAGTTTGTATAATAAGTGTACACACGTGGGAAGGTTTGTCTACAACACAAAGTCACTACACTTTGCAGTATACCTTGTGACACGCTGTAAGACATCCTCCTGACATGAAGGGCACTATCCCAAATGTAAGGATTAATATTAATAAGGTATTTGCCATATGTTGAGAAGCAATAACAATTGAGGTTTAGGGTAATAGGTGAAAGGAATAGTGGTATAAACAGTTCACACATTGTGTCGTGTGACACCTTTTATACTTGGCTTAGTGAACTTTGATGGATCCGTATTTTTATACTACAGGCAGGCGGCAAAGTGCTTACCATTTATCCATGACTGATGAGCAACAATAAGTGGGAACAATTTAGATTAGCAAAACAGCAGCAAAGAGCCTTCCAGGCTAAAATATTAAAGGCGAAAAATACATTCGAACAATGTCTCACATGCTTAGGCCTGCCATTTCACTTAATCTACCACTCCAATGCAGTGCTGGGCATGTGCTGCATCGTCAGAGGTGCTGTTCTTTGGATGAGACATTCGATCCGAGGTCCTGTCTGCCTGTTCAAGTGGACATTAAAGATCCCACGGCATGATTCGAAGAAGAGAAGGGAGTTTCTCCCGTTGCCCTCGCCAACAATCTGCCAAATCATGTTGGTCGTTCACTTTGTGGCTATGGGTTATTGCTGTATGAAAATTGGCTGTCGTGTCTGCCCTCAAAATACACAGTCACTACACTTTACAGTACATCCTGTGAAAAGCTTTGATACATCCTCCTGACGTACAAAGTCTATATCAAAGGCTTTGAAAGAACAGTGAAGAACATTCGCAAGTTGGCATCAAACCACCCTTTATGCTGTGAGGCAAGTTGTCCGAATAAATGCTTTGATCAAATGTCTAATTATTGCAACCCAAGTGAAACAATACACTTACGTTGGGGCAGGCGTCCTCTCCTTGTTGTCCGACCAGAATGTAAAGAATCTCGTTTTTCTGCAGCTCGAAGGTGGCTGACACCAAGATGCCGTGGAATCTCTTAAAGTCGTTCTTTACTCCTTTGCCCCCAGCGGCTCCGTAGGCTGATATCCTGCAGTTAGACACACGTCCATAAAAAAGATGTTTCCCTGAGTTTGTATATTCCAGAGAAGAGTTTCTCTTCCTGACAGTCTTGTCATAAGAAACAACTATGATAATAAGGCTCTAATTTGCAACCTATGTGTTAGAGCACTTGTCCTTGCAAGTGAGAGAACCCGGGTTCAAGTGGGAAAACCTTAGGCAAGTTTCCTTACTCCACACCCCTCTGCTTACTGAGCTTAAAGTAGGAACCTGGTTGTTAGTCGATTGCCGGATCGCTTTTCCGAGGATAATAGTCCCATATAAGAAAGATTTGGTCACTCAATCCACAACTGTTTGTGGGACACTGCTGTGCGTAATTGGCTGCCCACAAGATACACAGTCAATCCACTTTACGGTATAATAATAATAATAATAATCCTTGCATTTGATATAGCGCTTTTCAGGTCGGGAGGACGCCCCAAAGCGCTTCACAGAACACACTGTAACGTGAATTGACTGTATATTTGTGGGCGAACGCGGCGGCCGATTGCGCACAGCAATGTCCCACAAACAGTCGTAGATTGAAAATGACCAATTTATTATTGTTTTTTTGGTTTTGGAGGGATTATTATTAGGGCTCTGTGTGGAGTAAGGAAACTTGCCCAAGGTTTCGCCCTCTGCCTGGAATTGAACTCAGGTCTCTCGCTTGCAAAGCGAGTGCTCTAACCACTGAGCTACAGGACTCCACATGGTATGTTCTGTGAAGGGCTTTGAGACGCCTCAACGATGTGATATGGCGCTATATCAAATGCAAAGATGCAAAGATTATTATTGTAGTATTATTATTGTTATGCAAACAATTTGCGGGTTGGGTTAAGCACATACAAATGCATGTGTTAGAAGGTTGCGTGTCCAAGCCTTGTGTTGGGACAAAAGCCCACAGAACTTGGCTGTTACCGCAGTGCAGTACTCTGGACTTGCCACATTGTTGGAAAACCGAGGTCCCATCTGCCTGTTCCTCAGGTGGATACTAAAGATACTAGAATTCAGAAGCTGTGTTTTTGTAGGTGAAAGCAGCAGCCAATTTATGCACAGAGATGTCCCACAAACAGTCATCAAGTGAATGATCAATTTTATTTGGAAGGATTGTTAGCCAGGACACTAGGTGAAATTACTATTATTTTTACATTTGTACAGTGCCTTTCACGTCGGAGGAGGTCCCAGGATTCGGACACAAGCAGAGGGTTGTGATTAGGAGGGATGGAGGGCAGAGATGGTAGGGTTAGGAGGGTGACTAAAGGCATGAGACATGCCTTGAAAGAGGGAGCGAGGAAAAGGGAGTGCGAGATGGAGTTGCAAAGGGTGGGGGCAAAGACTGAGGCTTGATTGTCGATGGTAGGCCAGGCCGGTAGGAGCCTGCTGAGCGGAGGGAGCGGACAGTTCCATTTTGAGTTAGCAGGTCACGGATTAAATAATAATAATAATCCTTGCATTTAATATAGCGTTTTTCACGTCTTCGAGACGTCTCAAAGCGCTTCACAGAATATGCTGTAAAGCAAATTGACTGTACATTTTGTGGGCGAAACACGGCAGCCAATTGCGCACAGCAGCGTCCCGCAAGCAGTTGTTGATTGAAGTGACCAATTTTTTTTCTTGAGGGATTATTATCAGGCGTGTGGAGCAAGGAAACTTGCCCAAGGTTTCACCCTTCCGGGAATCGAACCCAGATCCCTCCCTTGCGAGGCGAGTGGGAAGGGCCTGCCTTTTGTATGTTACAATTGCGGATAACGTTTGCATCAATTCCCATTAGCTGAAATCTAAAAGGAAAACCAACGGTGCTTCAGGAGTGTTGAAAATCAAATTGCACTTATATATGATAAAAGACTTGCTCAGGGGTTTTCAGAGGGCATCAGGAGTGACCCATTCATTTTTATAAAGTGATGCCCTGCGGATGGCTGCTGACATGCCATTAAACCCCTGTCTATCCCGCTGGCTAGCTCTGAACTTTAAGTAAGATTTGTCATCCTTGGTAATCTAGTTTGGTTTGTAGCGTTCAGGAACATTTTTATTTAGGCATTGACGGCTGGTGGAATGGATGTACAGGATTGCCATGGGCCTTGTTGCAGCCAAGCATGGGAATAGCTGCTGCCTTATCGCTCAAAATTCCATCTTGTCTTAGCTTGTGAGACTTTTTTTATCTGAAAATGAAGGATTATAATAATAATCCTTGCATTTGATATAGCGCCTTATCACGTTTTCGAGATGTCAGAATATACTCCAATAATCCTGTCATTTGATAATCCTTGCATTTGATATAGCCAATTGCACACAGCAGTGTCCCACAAACAGTCGTGCATTGAGTGCCAAATTATTATTAATATTTTTTAAGGGATTATTACTCCCTGAAAAGCAATCTGCCAATCGACTAACAACCAGGTTCCTACTTACTGCTAGGCAAACAGAGGAGTGCGGAGTAAAGAAACATGCCTAACATTTCATCCTGCCCGGGAATCGAGCTTGCGAGTGCTCTAACCACTGAGCTACAGGACTCCACTGTAGCTCATAGAACTGTGGAAGATTCTTCATTCCAGTCTCAAGTGTGAAACAAGTTCGGTTTTAAGAACTGTAGAGGACCAGCTTTCAGATCAAGACGGAATATTCCACATTTGACACACAATGAAAAATAATTTTATTCCTCTTATGTCTGGAGTATGATAACATTACAGAGGGTGAAATATATGCCAAGTATGATGCGTCAATTATCACCGATGGTGTTAATTAACGTATCATTTGAAAAACGCAACCAGTCCGTGAGCCCATTCCACCCAATGGATCAGATCATGGCAGATCGAAACATTTTGGGACAGGAAGTAAATATAGACAACAACGACGATGACAACTTGGATTTATATATCGCCCTCCATGCCGGGCGGCGTCTCAGAGCGCTAGACAGAACGAGGCACCGCCCACTTACATGTACGTGTCAGTCGAAGGCACTCTCCACTTCTGGATTCCTCTCCAAGGCTCTTTGGTTCCAATGACCACTGAGATATTACTGTTCCTGTAGGCATTGTTGCACTGGGCTTGGGTTGGTCCTGTAGGTCCAGTGGCACCGCAGGTGGTAATAATCCATGGGCCTTGAAAGCACACACAGAGAAAAATAATTAAACTTGGTCGCTTTCTCATTCAATCACTCAACCTACAATACAGGTAGACGAAGTGAAGGTTATTGAAACGTGGAATGCTTTGGCACAAGTAACTGTAGAAGCTAAGGCCATAAAGCAACATTTAAAAGGGAATTGGATGCATGTTTGATTTGGAATTGGGGTGGGTGGGGTGGGTAAAGGTAGGAATGTTACAAGGGATTCCTTAATTAAAGAATCCGAATGGGGAATCCTTGCAAGGCGTGTCATGCCCAATTGCGGAAACCTCGCTCTGAAAGTGTTTTAGACCCCAATATAAAAGGGTTCGGGGAAAGAGGAAATAATTGAGATTACAGTACACTGCAACTGCGGTTTCAGGAAGTCCAAGGGGGATTCCTTATCGAGGAAACGTTAGGAGATACCGCAAACTAGAGTTGGTCATCTCCAGTGGAGGAGCTGGAAGCATTGCACCCTCGACGGCAGTGAATGGCCTCCTTCTGCACTGACGTCTCTGTGACTCTCGGCTGCTGCCGCACAATAAACATAAGGGAAATGCCTGAAAGAATCAGGGTTTCTCTTCTGTTACACACGCGCCAACTGAGTAGAAGCTGAGTGATGTATGACCAGCAGCTGACGATCCCATTAAAACTAAGGACAATGATTCCCTCCACAGAATAAAACAACATCCTCAACTGGATTTTTTTTGGAGCTGTATCTGTAATTTAATACGAACAGGGGTTTATAGTGCAACCATTCAAATAATCCCATTGTAAATAGTTGACACTCTCCTGGGAGTCCCTCAGATGAATACAGCTACACAGGTCTAAATTCTCGAGAGCTGACAGAATAATTACTCAACCCCAAAGCTCCTGCCACCACTGGCTGAAAAGCAGCTCTCTTCACTGGTTCACTGATACCTTGCCTCCTTCAAGACCCATCTCAAGACCCTCCTCTTCGACCGTGCCTTCGAACCGCCCTCCTTCCACCTTCCTGCCCTGCCCTCCACCCTCCTCGATCCCGACCCCCAGCTCGGGTCCGAAACACTGACCGTCCAGCGCCTCGGGATATCCTCCCGACGTGAAAGGCGCCATACAAATGTAATTATGTTGTTGTTGTTAGGTATGACTGCAAATGCCACACCAAAGGGTTCTAAACCTCGTGCTTCCCTGCTCTGCTTATTGAGGTAAGCACTGGGCATATTATCTGAAATGAGCTATGAGGGACAATTGGATAAGCAAAGGTCTTCACATTCTCAATGGCATCTCATAGAGGCACTGTATACGAGATGTTAAAACTAATTATCATTACATTTGGTATAGCGCCTTTCATATCAGGAGGACATCTCAAAATGCTTTGCATAATTTACTGCAGAATGGAATGATGATATACATTTGTAAGCAAACAGAGCAGTCAATGTGCACACAGCAATGTTTCACAAACAGCCATAAAGTGAATCAGCAATTTTATCAAGGAATTATTGGCCAGGACACCCTTCTCTGTTCAAATAAAAAAATATCCTTGCATGTGATATAGTGCTTTTCACGTCTACTAGATGCCTCAAAGCGCTTCACAGAATATACTGCAAAGTACTGTATATTTATATACCTCAAAGACTGTATATTTATGGGTAGAACACGGCAGCCAATTGCGCACAGCAGTGTCCCGCAAACAGTTGTGGATTGAGTGACCAAATTATTGTATATTTTTTGAAGGATTATTTTAGTTTCATAGGATCTTTAACATGCACCAGAACAGCCAGATGGGATCTGGGTTTAATGTCTCATCTGCAGGATGGCACCTCTGACAACGCAACAACAACAACTTACATTTACTTAGCACACTTTCTATAGGGCAGGACTCCCTCAGTATCCAGTACTGCATTGGAGCTTCAGCCCTAGAGTATGACCTTGAATCCCAATGTGGGACTTAAACGTACAACCTTGGATCCTCAAGTGAAACCGCTACCATTTGAGCCAAGCAGACACCTCAAATGACAAAGGTGGCCTTTCACTGAGAGATTAATGTAATTTCAAGTCATAACAATCAGTCCTCAGCTGATAAAGTACTGCAGCAATGCGATAAACCACATGAATTTTGTCGCCTCATGCTGAGCAGCTGGATAGGAGGAGATGGTGAGAAGCCAGAGCCGTCAACAAAGAGATTTTTGGACAAGACTGTGACCAGGGCTGCGCTGCCACAGCAAAGTTCTGCAAACCTGCTCCACTGCCAAAGACAAGCATGAGGGAAGGACAGTGGACGGATAGGAGACTCTTTTCTACATAGAGTATTATTAGGACACTCACCAAAGAGTATGGTTGATGTGGTGACAAGAGATGTGCTGCTGTTCTGTTGGGTCTTCAGGATTTACACCCTGTGGTTCAGTAACGCTGTACCAAAGTAACACCTTACAACAATGGAATATCGCAAAGGTCCAGACAGGAAATTACTCTCAAGTTCAGTGATTGTTTTTGCAAGCAAACAAAGCAGCTAATTTGCACCCTGGACAGTCTGACAAACAGCTACGTGACGAATAACTAGATTTATCTGAAGGACTGTTGGCCAGAACACCGGGAGAAAATCCCTTGTATTTAACATCCATCTGAGGAACAGGCAGTTGAATTTAATATCTTATTTGAAAGATGTTCAGGTCAGTATAGCTCAGCTGCTTTATAACCAAACCAACAAAACTATGGGGGAAAGTGTTTGATTATTAGTATTATAATAAGGAAAACAAACTGCTGGTTGTGGATCATGCAGAAGGACACATTAGTACATAATGTAGCAACCTTAATCCAATATCATTCACTGATAGATTAAACTGTTTTGCAGTAGTTCTCAGTCACTGTGGTAACTGCAATGCATCTGATAATGAATTAACAGCGTTCCAATGGAACTCATCTCCGATCATTGGTGAGATGATTAAATCCCAAATGAAAAAGAAACACTTCTCAGAAGTCCTAAACCATTATTTTTTTTAATAGAGTGCCACTCTTGAGAAGATCAAATTCTTGTTAATATTATCTTTTATTTGGTGAAATGAGGTCGAACCTATTAGGATTTTACAGCATCTGCTCCTACTGCTGATGAATTTTAAAACGCTTTTAATTTATGTAGTCTGGCAGCATCGGAACATGCACTCTAGGATTCTACCTACACTTTACTTTCATAAGAGCACACTCCAGTTGCGTGTTGTAATAAACAACAAATGAATCACGGTGGGAGTAGACATAGCAGGTGTTTCACAACAGGATTCAGTAATAGCAACCCTGTGTCACTAACCTGGAATCTTGTAACCGTCATGGTCAACTCCTGGTTTTGTAAGTTATTTTTTTCAGCTGATACATTTTGACCTCCAAGCCTATGCTAATAATGCTGTTGGAACCAATTTCTGGGATTGTGGTGTGACATTTAGGTCGAAATTCTGGTTATAATAATAACAATGCTTGGATTTGATACAGCGCCTTAACACGTTTTCGAGACGTCTCAAAGCGCTTCACAGAATATACTGTAAAGTGAATTTTAAAGTATGTTTTTTAGGGCGTAATGCCAAATTGCGCACAGCAGTGTCCCAGTTAATTTCAGGCAATCTTAACTTGACGTTATGTATAGCAGCATTAAAGACACTGGCTGCTTCATGGGATTTAAATCGCAAATCGCAAAAATCTCTACACAGATATTCCCTTAAGAAGGTATCTTTGCCTGGCTTCAGTGTCTTGCCGAGAAGACACAGCTGCCATGAGAGTTTCACTGTGTGGGCCAAGGTCTGGTCTATCATATCAATCATGTTGAGGAAGGTCAGATTCATGGCAAAGTTCTTTCCACGTTGGTGCAGTAGTGCACCTGAAATTTCTTATGGTTGTTGGCTCAAGACCATGGGGTAAATCACAAGACGGTGTGGAAATTTGGAAAACGGTTTTCTGCATAACCCCAAATGGTACGCGGGGGAACCAGATTCCAAATTAAGACCGACTTTAAGACTGCATTCCATAATTCCAGGCAATCTTAAATTGTAAGACAATGGGCTTAAACCTAAGAAAATTAGGAATTTTAGACCGCAGCTGAATTCCAACCTCAGAAGATCAGCCCGTACTGAACTTTTTCATTGGTGCAGTGGAGCTCCTGTTAAGAATGGTAAACAGTCTACTTAACACTGAATGCTTCGTGGTCTCAGAATTTTCAGGTCAGAAAACACAAGTAGACATGATGCTCTTAAGAACATTTAAATATATTCAAAGCAGTTCACAGGTAATTGCTGTTAAGTGAAGTGACTGTACAGTTATAGGCAAACTTAGCAGCTAATAAGCTATACCACAAACAGTGCTAAAGTTAATCAGTCATTTTAACTGGAGAGGAAGTAACATCTTGCATTGGAGGTCAGCCTAGACTGTGAGTTCATCCCAACGTGAGCCCTGAACCCACAATCTACTGACCTAGACGTGACAGTGTTAGCAACTGAGCTAAGTTGACACCTCAAGGGCTCAATTCTAAATGAATTCTAGTGGGGGAAATCTTCTCACCATTGACTGTGTTGTTGACCACGTCTCACCTGTCAAAAGATCCCGAGTTGAGACTCTCCTGTGTCAGTAGCAGTTTATCCCACTTCCTAGTTGTGCATCAGTCCAGAGTGAGCCAATTTTACAAAGCGTAGTGAGTGCCAGCAAAATCTCTGCACTTTCCTACAATCTATCAAGAAATACACACAATCTGGGATCTGTCTTGTTCTGTATTTAAACAGCACAGCAGATGGCAAGTTATTTGCTTCTTGCCTTTGGGGCAGTAACTCATCAAACGTATGCTGGACTGCACAAAAACGAGATGGAATTTACTTGGGAAGGTCAATTCATTCATCTTCATCAGAGAATTTGTAAGACCTGCTTCATTGGAGAAGAAAAAGTAGGAGGTGGGATCCGTAAGGAGTTCTCTCTTTGTCAGCGTGAAAACGAAAAAAAAAGAAATAATCAAGCCTTTCAAGTTAGCCTGTCAATTGGCTTGATGTTAGGGCTGCCACCTCTCATGGAAGTTTAGTCTCTCGAGTCTCTGGATTCACTTTGCCTGTCCATCTTATTTTTGGTCAGCAGGAGGTCTGACCTCTGCGAAAACCCATCACCAGGCTTACGAGTGTCCAAACGAAACTGAGAGTTCCATGTATCCCACCTACGCATGGACATTCCAAGGATGTTTATTTGGAATGGAAAGCACACTCTCTCCTGGAAGAACGTATCCTGCTTATCTCATTTCAGAGAGTATTAGGCACAGGTTGGCAAGAGCCAAGGCTTTGCTGTCCAAGGCCTGTTCAGCTGGATATTAAAGATTCCAACACGCTGTTTAAAAAGAGAAAGGAGTTTCTCCTGGTGTCCTGGTCAGCAATCCTCCAGATAAATCGGTAGATCATTTCATGGCTATTTGTAAGGCTTTGCCCTGTGCAAATTGGCTTCCTCCGTTGCTTATAAATATAAAATCACCTGACTTGATAGCAATTCCCTAGGGCGGGCTGATGTTTTGATGTTATAGATGCTGTATCAAAATGGAAGGATTATTATTAATAGATCAAGCTGAATCAAAGCATTTGAATTATTAATTCAGGTCTTGTCTGCTTTGAGATCTAGGTGAATGTGAATTCACCCCCCCCGTCCATTGTTATTTCAAAGAAAAGTTTTTCTCCTGGTTACCTGGCTTTATATTCCCTCTTCCAAATTGAAATTAATTGTCTACTCAGCTCATTGTTACAGCGAATTAACTGCCGCATTTACCTCCAGATCAACATTCACTTCCTTTTTAATTCATCTAATTCCACAAAGTGCTGGGAGACGTGTTTCTTTTACGTGAAATTTTCTTGAATTCAGTCTTAATTTGGAAGCCAATTAAGCCAATTAATCCTACAACGCTAAAAAAAAATTGTAAAAATAAGCATGGAATTCTGTCCATACATAAAATGTATTCCATACCTAAAAGTTAATTGAAGCGCTCTGAGACACTGCCATGTGTGAAGGACGCTATGAAAAAGTTGTTGTTGTTGTAATTCAATGGTCTTAAGGCTAAGAGTGCTGTATAAGTGCAAGTTGTTGTTGTTATAAGACATTGAGGACTTTCAGTATCCTAGTATCCGACTTTGGTGGACCCCGCTGGCAATTAGGTAACACCATTACACATAAGCTGCCCATTTTCTGACGAGCAGGATAGCCTATCCTTCGCTGTAACAATAATGCTCACAAAAGATCTCTTGATCTAGACTTCGGAGTAAATAAAGGTCCAGGGAAAATAGATTTTATCGCAAATCACTTGCAATTTTGCAGCTGAATGCCTGTGCTCACTGTAAACAGACTTCCAATAATCACGTGTTATAAATTCTCCTTAAATCCATGATGGAGAAATACCTTCCACTCTGAAACCCAAAGGCTCAGACAGACATTCACGGAGGCAGATTGGGTAAGAGAGGGGACAAATCAGGCAGGACAGAAGCACATCAGGTAGGACAAGGGAAGATCAGATCAGGTAGAAGGTGGGCGTATTGGGAAGGAGAGAAGCAGGAGAGGAGCTGATTTAAGTAGCAATAATAGATCTACTGTTAGAGCCATTGCTGGTGGAGTGGTCTAACGATAGCTTTAGCAGGTTCACAAAACTAGATACACACAAAAATACCTGTGAATTGTCCTCTAATTGATATTCTGGTATTTTCGCACTCGTCCAGGTGTGAGATAACATTGATCTTAAACTGGAAATACCAAGTTCAAATGTTAATAATGAGAGTGGAATTCTGCCCGAGCGAAAGCTTTATTGGTTCATTGTAAACTCTGGAGTTGGAAATAAAACTGCTTCTGACAAGCTAATAAGCTTCTGCCCTCTCCTTTACGGCTATAGATAAAACCTATATACAGTAAAAAAAAACACGCAAGGAGTCCCTCTCCTTGAATTAATAAGGAGATGAGCATTGGAGGTTTATTATCAACTGGACACCAAGCAAAAACACTTTGGTTGTAAAATTCCTCCTTTGAAATAAAAGCAAGGGGACTCTGCTACTTGGGAAGATATCTTTGCTGACATGGGATGAACATGCTATTGTCTGCATTGCAAGTCATCTGCTTTAAACATGATCATGTTGTCACATTCAACCTTTACATCGCCTGATTACGGTGAGTGTGTCTCTCTCTCTCCACACTCACCTCAATCAGATACAGGTTATAACAGTAATAAATAAATAATCCTTGCATTTGGTATAGAGTCTTATCACATCTTCAAGATGTCTCCAAGAGCTCCACAGAATATATTTTAAAGTGAATTGACTGTATATTTTGTGGGCAAATGACAGCAGCCAATTGCGCACAGCAGTGTCCCACAAACAGTCATGGATTGAATGACCAAATTATTATTTTTTTTTGGAGGGCTTATTACCATCCAATCACCTGACAACCAGGTTCCAACTTACTGCTAGGTAAACATAGGCGTGTGGAGTAAGGAAACTTATCCAAAGTTACGCCCTGCCCGGGAATCGAACCGAGGTCCTCTCGCTTGCGAGGCGAGTGCTCCAACCATTAATCTACAGGACTCCACAAGTTCAATATCACAAATTCAGGAAAGAAACACTCTGTTTTTCAAGCTCTCAGACCATAGAACCATATAAATTTATAGCACATAAGAAGGCCATTTGGACGATCATGTTTGTGCTGTCTCTTGAGTAATCCTTTCAATCCCATTTATTCACCGTTTCCCCAACCCCCTGTAGCTTATTCCTTTTTTTTGGTATTTATCTCAAACCCTTTTGAAAGCTGATATGGATTCTGTTTCATCCACCACTTCCAACAGGGCATTCCATATCCCAACTACTCCTTGAGTAAAAAACATTTTCCTAACCTTCCCATTTGCTCGTTTGCTAATTATCTAGAAAGCGATGCGCTTGATTTACTGACTGTCATAAAATTTCAGATGGCGCATAATTTGGAAAAAATCTTAACTTCGGTTTGAAACCATTTTATTTCAAACTGCGAAAAATCAGCGGTGAGATGAAGACTAAATTTTTGCAAGATTTCTGGATGAGTTTAAGTTTGAAGACATTGAATGGGGTTAAGACTGAGATCAGGTTCTGCACGGGACAATAGTTTTCAAGCTTTAAACTGAAGCCGTAATAACGCTGGATTGCAGGAGTCATTAGCTCCCTGTTCAGAGTAATTAGCTTTGCGGCCACTCTTAATATCAAGAGCTGCCAAGATTCTTTCTACTCATGTAAAAAGCCAGCAGAAAGATATTTCTAATTTCCGTTTCCCCTTATATGAGTGCTCTCTGTGTTTCACACCCCATTGGTGTGT